CCCGCTCCGGTGAAAGGGTGACTGTAGACAGTAACGGGCCGCACACCTCACACCCTCTCCGGTGAACGGCTGGCAGCAGACAGAAACGAGCCACACACCTCGCACCCGCTCCGGTGAACAGGTGACCGCAGACAGTAACGGGCCGCACACCTCACACCCGCTCCGATGAACGGATGACTGTGAACTTTATGAACTATTATTATGGTGAACTTTACATGCTCTGATGGCGGAGACGAATCCGCAATCATATCAGCGACTGATCTATATTACTAATCCTACAGTCTATGCTGTAGTACTGAAGTACTATCTTTTAAGTATAAAAATATTAAAACACATATGACTTTCGTCAAAATCTAGATGTCTAAATCCATTGAGAAAGAGAGGGGAGTCGGGCCGTCGTTGCAGCCGGCCCCTAATCATATACAAAAAATAACACCATTGCCGCAAGGCATCCAAAGGGTACTCATTTGCATCCCTCAGTCGGCACGTCACAGAAATTATCCGTGGAGGGAAATGCCAAACTTCCATGAAATCCTGAGAATTTCGAACACTTTTCCACGAAAGTACCCAGCATCCAGCATGCACCTCTGGTCCGTGATGTTCGTGAAGTTGGCGATCTTTTCAGCGACTAGTTTTGATTTCATTGAAAACACGTCATTTGGTTAATTATGGAACAGAAACATCCAAAATGAGTTCAATGTTACAATATCATGTGACCTTCGAGGTCAAGTTCTAGGTTGAAGAAGAGAAACTGTATATCATGAAAATTAAGGGCCGATTTCAACTTTTTAACCATCAGGATATTCACCAGCGTTAAACCCAGCGACCGTCAAAACCTTGAGTAACTCAAGGTGGCCTTACAAAGTTCATTTCAGGTTCAAATAGTAGAACACCATATCATCAAAAAAATTGTTGGCCGATTTAAACTTTTCCAGTATCAGGATATTCACCAGTGCAAGAACTAGCGTTCCCCAAACCCCTGACCCCTCAGGGTCACACTTCGATTTTATGCTTATGCTCACGAGAAACTCAAAATCGCAAACAATTACGGGCGATGTTTGATTTTCAAGTACGGGGACAATCACTAGCGCAAGAATTAACCTCCGTCAACAAGTCGTGACCTCTCAATTAAAGTTATCTTTCAAGGTGAGATATAAACCCAAAGGGCGGAAAACTTTACATCATCAAAAACTCGCTGGCCAATTTTAACTTTTTAAGCAGATAGTGTTCAGCGGCACAAGAAAAAGCATCTGTCCAAAGGTTCTGAGAACTCAAGGCCACCTCCAAAGTCATATTCATGCTCAGTAAAAGAACGCGTACTCCAAATAGCCAAAAATTGCCGGAAAACTTAAAGTCGTCAAACATAAAAATATTTACCAGAATAAGAAGTAGCGTCTTGTCAAAAAGGCCTGAAATCTTAATGCCACCTTTCAAAGTAGGCCCAAGTGACGGGAAACCATGCCATCAAAAAATTATCGGCAGGTTTCGGATGTTTAAGCACCAAAAAAATCACCAGCGCACAATTAAGCGTTCATAAAAAGTCCTGACCTTTCAAGTTCATCCCTTAAGGTCAGGCGCAGGCTCAAATGACGCATATTACCAAAAAATTGCCGGCCAGCATCAGAATATCTACCACCGCACGAATGTTTTTTTTAACGGACGCTAGTTTATGCGCTAGGGAATTTTCTGATACTTGAAGATCGAAATCGGCCGGCAATTTTTTTTGGTGATTTGGAGCTCCCCTTCCTTTGAGGCCAAATTTAACCTTGAAAGCTGATACGCTGATTCATGTGCTGGTGATTATCATCATATGTAAAAATCCGAAATCGGCTGGTTTTATGACAAGGAGATCTCTACCACTTCAGCTTGAATTTGAGCTCGAAAGGTGACCTTGACAGATCAGGGGATACACTAGTTCGGAGGCTAGTTCTTGCGCTGGTGAATATTCTGCTGCTTGAAAAGTTAAAATCGATCGGAAATGCTTTGATGTCATGGAGTGCCCATTCTTCGAGCCTGATATTGACATTGCAATCCTTGGTCTTTTAGATAATATCAAAGGGTAGTAAGTTACGCCACCAATGGTTACAACGATCACGTACTTAAAACGCCACCAGCACTGCTCGTAACGGAGAGCTTCGGTCCGTCGCAGCAGCCAACGTTTGTACTGTTTGTTTCTTTCTTCTCTTCGGTTCCACACCCTGTTGATCTATGTATGTGTAATCTTGGCCACACGGTTCTCGAGAATCTGCTAGGGCAATACCCGCGCGACCCCGCAGCTGTCGTGGGCCGACGATCCGTGCTGAGGTGCTTCCGGCCCAACAAGGAACACAGCGGCCGCGGACGGACGTCGCCAGTGAGCTTCCCGTCCGACGCAGGAAGTGCTGCCCGTGGGCTTCCCGCCCGGCGCCGGAAGTGCTGCAGACGGACGCCGATGAGCCACAGTGTGTGATATGAGTCTGCACGTGTCCTTCTTCCGGTCTTCTGTGTTTCACTTGTTGAGGCCGGTTCCCCGAGTTCCTGCCCTAAATAGGAGTAGGTGGTTGCCGTCGTATTAGCGCGTCACTCACCCCTTGCACCGTGCTTCGTCGGCCGTCCGTCCGTCCGCCAGGCGCTGCGCTCGCGCTGGAGCATCGCGGCACGAGTGCCACCCGTACCGAAGGGGCAGCCGGAGCTCGACGGCAGGGTCCTCCCCTGCTACACCCGCTCCCGGCGATCATCCGCTGCCCCCCAGACGGGTGCCGCTCCTCGTGCGTCGCCAGCTCCATGGCGACGCAGCGCGCCAGTCTTCGCCGGCACCTGCGCGTAAGCTGCGGCGTTCCGGTGTCCCGCATGCCGTGACTCTGTACCGGGTGCCGGGACCAGCTCACCGCGCGACCCTCCCGGCACCGCTGCACGGGTCCGGTCAGAGCCAGGCACCGGCCGGCGGCGAGGTGCCGCACGGCTGCCCGTGGTGTCGGGCCACCCTCACCACGCGGCGCTTCTGGACTAACGAGCCCGCTGCCCACGCCGGCCCTACATCGCACCGGTCCAGGCCGTCCATCTCGGGCTGCCACGAGCCAGGACTTCACTAGAGGCGTCGTCTCAGCGGACACCACCGGCCGTCGGCTGGCCCTCGGACTCGCCGCGGTCCTGGCTGGGTGCGCAGCTCGAGCGAGTCGCCGGAATTGCCACCGGCCGGCGATCGCCGTCAGCGGCGCCGGCGCCGCGGGAGTCACCACTATCAGAGGAGACACCGGAGGCGCCTCATCGCCGCTGGCCAGGCTGGGCAACGCCCTGCGACAAACCGGCCGCGGTATTGCGAGTCAACGGCCCTTGAGGGCATCACCGACGACGCCAGAGGACTCCCACCATCTCTCGCAGCGTCGCCGGCGAGTGTCCTGGTGACCCCCGCGCACGCCACCACCGTCCCGGGCGGAGGAGTGGCGGGCCCGAGCCGACCAGCCCTGCCTACGTCGCCCCGCATGTCGCCGCCGCGCGTCCCTGGACCCGGCGTAGCGGAACTACTCGCCGTTGGAGCGGCAGCGTACATCGAGCCCGCCAGCGTCTCCGGCGTCGAGGCCTGTGTCGCTGTCGCTCGCGCTGGTGTCCCCAGGCGGTTCTCCGCCATGAGCGACGCCGCTGCCCCTGGTGCCTCCACCACCACCGGCGAGCCCCCCCCCCCCCCCCGCCCCCCTCCGCGCCGCTCCAGTGCCGCCGTCGTTGTCGCGCGTGGCCTTCGTGGTCCTACAACACCGGCGAGTGAAAGCGCTGGTTCGCAATCGAGCGACCCCTTGCTGCAGCGGGGCCGATGGCGTGGTGGCCGAGTGACACAAGGTTCACTTAGACTCGCGTCGACAGTGGGGGCGACGCACAGCAGCCAGCGCCCATCTGCAGCAATGGACAGCAGCATGTGAAGTACGTGTATGCGGCGTCGCCACCTCGTGTGCCCGTGTACCCCTCGGGTTCTCCCCGCTCCCCTCCCTGCCGCCGTTGCCCGCCGCGCCGCGGTCAGAGTCGCCGGCCCCATCCAACCCCATGCCCGAGACGTCAGACGGCTCAAGCGGCCGCCGCCGTCGACGGCGCCTGTATCGGACACGGCGTACTCACCCGTAGCCTGGCCCACCACGGCGACAGCTCGCCCAGCCCTGATAAGTCATGTTAGGTGACCTTGAGTTTCAGGACCTTTTGACAAACGCTTGTTCCTACGCTGGTGAAGATTCTGATGCCTGAAAATTTGAAATATGTTGGCAGTCTTTTGGTGATGTGGAGTTTTCTGTTCTTGGAGTGTGAATTCGACCTTGAAGGGTGACATTAACTGTTCAGGACTGTTTGATGGACGCTGGTTATTGTGAAGGTAAATATTGTGATGCTTTATAAGCTGAAATCGGTTGGTAATTTTTGGATGATATGAAATTCCTGCTGCTTTGACCTTGAGTTTGACCTTAAAGATCACCTATGATATTGGAGAGCAGATGTAACTTTCGACGTTCTTGTGGCTTAGTGGACCATGTAACTTTGTTATAAAAAACTGAGGTAGGAACTCATCACTGAGTAAATCGCTGAATACATCGCCAACTGCAAGGATATTGGGTTCAGGCGGGAACTCGCTGAATAAGATCGGCGCTCTTGTGAATAGGCGCCGCCTCCCAGCATCTGTCTCCGAGCGGGGAACGCTGATAAGATGGGCTTGTCTCTTCCGTTTCTTTTACAGAAAACCACTCCCTCACGTCCCTCACCCAGCGCGCTACCGAGTTGTCTCCAGTGGCGTCATACCTCAGCTTGCCAGAATGTAAACAAGTCGCATGGTGACACCACTTTTCTTCACGGCCTTGGACACGCAGGGGTATGAACGGAGCTGCGGCTGTGTGTACGAGCGGTGGGTTCATGTACATTCAAGGGCATAATAATAACGTGCCGCCCATACGTTTGTCCGGGGTGTATCTAGTGCTTATGTGGCCTTGTGAGAGGTCGTCTGAGTTATTTAAGAACTTTGAAATAAAGCCGAATTACCCTGCCTAAAGATGGCTATCAAGGGTCGCTCACACTCTGAGAACAGGTTCTATACAAATTCCAAGGACAAGAACAAACATCCTCCCACGAAGGTAAGGGCATTAAGTTTGACTGCGAAAATTCGGTATGCCGTGCTCTGGGCACCTCCTTATTTGTTATTAAAAATGGAACCCTTGTGTGTCACTTTGTGTAATGTGTTATTGTTATGCTTGGCTCAGAATTTGGCCCATCCAACAACTTAGTTTGCTCTGCCTGGACGTGACCTGAATTTGTTTATACATGCAGCCCTCTAATGCTGATGCAAACTGACTCAATCATTATTTGTTCAGGTTTTACAATGAACAGAAATAATAATGTATGAGAGAGCACCACAAGCAATAATGCTATTTCTTTCCATGCTTTGTCAGACACAATTGGTAGCTTGAAATATGGTGTTGAGCACACTGAGGAGAAATCCTGCTTTCTTTTGCTTGAATTGATGACTACAGAGGTGTCATATCTTCTTGCTGGTAACTTCTGTGCCTTGCTACATGGTTATTATTACCAAGAATTGCAGTGTTTGGCTTAAAGCTATTTGTTCTTTTGTTTGCACTAATGTTTAAAGCAAAAACATATTTTTGAGATGTACCTCTTTCATGATGCATTTATAGTGGGCGCATTATGCATCCAGCATTATTTATGCTCGGTGCATTATGCTTATACTGACACTGCACAAACTGGAATGTCAGAACTGCAGCAATGCAATGCACCCTGGTCATAATGACCTCAGAACAAGTACAGTCCCACTAAAACCCAAGAAACCCTGGTCCAGTGGCATGCAGACATCAGCTTGAACACCTGATGCTCCCTAAAGTCAAGTTCCTGCAAACTTCAATGGCTGCTGGTGCATTGAATGACCAGATTATCTTGATCCTTGGCTGATACATATTTGAATGGCATCGGTGGGAAGGGAGGTGGGCACCCAAATGTTTTGATCTTTTGAGAACAGTTACAAGTTTATGTATGTGTTATGTGTTATGTTTCAAAAGCATGTGTTACCTTCTTTATAACTGTTCAGGACTTATGAGCCACAACTGTTAGACACCTGCCAAAACTGCTGAGCAAGTAAAGATGCAATGCAAGTTGCAACTGAACTGTAATGTATGCATTAGTACAAAGCACAAAATAAAAAGTACTTGAGCAAAGTGGCATTAAGCAGATACAGGAATGTATACAAAAGTTAAGGACAAGAAGGGAACATATGAAAACTATTTTGTGATTGCCACATAGCTATTGCCCAGATTTTTCAGTCATTGTTTGCACTCTGTCTACAAATGTGTTCAAATGTTCTCAGCCTTCTGTAGACAGAGGCTTTCAGCCCAACATTCTGACAATTGCACTGCACTAGAATGTGCTCAATTAAGACAGAGTCATGATGTTTTCAATGAGGTATGGAGGTAGAGCTGTACCTCGTGCCATCTTCTGTAATTTGTGATCACCTGGAGATGACGTCAGCAGAGGGGTGTCACATGCCTTGCCGTCACGTCACGGTGTAACACTGCGGCGGACGTCGTCAGGTGGTGATCCGTCGGCTGCCCCCCGACATGACGCTGGAGACGTTCCGGGACCAGGTGGCTCCCCTCCCCGAGCACGACCACATCCGGTTTGTCCCAGCCGACCCCGGTCTGGCGCAGCATGCCTTCTCGCGAGCCTACATCAACTTCCTCCACATGGACGACATCGTCACGTTTCGGGACCGGTTCGATGGCTACGTCTTCGTCGATAAGCAAGGTAAGATGGTCAAAGGCAGAAGTAGCTAGTGCGCAGTGACCTCGCCTGTCGGTGCGCTAATTATCATTGTCATCAAAAGGCTGAGCTCGGTTTAGACTTTGTCGGGCTGCAGCATAGTCATGAGGTAACATCTGTAGCAGTTCAAACAAAAGTTATTGGTTTGCGTAGTTAAAAGCAGCATTGCCTCACTTCTCCAACTTGATGATGTTTTGTGGTGTGTGACCATTCAGTGAAGACACCGAAACCTGTCGTCCATCGCCTTTGGCCGCAGATATTCTGCTTTTTCGTTCTGAGTAAGTTCATTGTGCGTTCTCATCGCTTATTGAGACGAAGTCTGGTTTGACGTTCCACCAACATACGCACTACACCGCGGGCAGGGTTCGAGTTTCCGGCGCTGGTAGAGTTCGCCCTGTACCAGCGGACGCCACGGCGGCGCGCGCGGAAGCCGGACGCCAAGAGCGGCACCATCGCCGACGACGCCGGCTACCAGGCGTTCCTGCAGGAGTGCGAGCAGCCGCCAGAGGCCAGCCCAACCACCTGGGAGGAGACGCTTGAACAGATCGAGAAACGCCACAGCGAGCTCAAGGGTATGCGACGCTGGCGGGAGAAGAGAGAGAGGGGGGGGGGGGGGGGGCAGGGTTGCCGTGCGCCCTGGCTGAGAGGTATGGGGAGGGTAACCAAAAATGCTGGTTACACTAAATACCAGTCGACAGTAAAAGAACGGTCGATAAGGCCGTTTTTACAGGTATGGCTTCATGTTAAAAAATTTCGAACACTTAACGAGCTTTGCAAAGCGCAAAATAACAAACATAACTCAGAAAATCCGCGGAATGTTAGAAAACACAAGTCTGCTACATTATCTCACCAAGTTTGCGTTTTATGCATTTTCATCGATCACTGCCCACCTATTTGCATGGTTTTCCATCTGTGTCCTGACGTTATGGTTGCTTACCTGCATCGGTACCCAATATATGCAACATCAAAGAATTGTCCGCTGCGAGAATGCTTTTAGTGTGAGGAAATGCCTACAGATACCAGCTTTGTAAGAATGCTTTAAATGTAAGGGAATGCTGACAGATACCACCTCGGCTCTAAGTGAAAGACGGCCCTCAATCGAAATGTTCACAGGAGTGCTAGGCGTGCATCTTTTCGACAGGCTTTCATGCAAGGATGCTTCTCACTCGTGTTGCTCATTGACGTCAAATTACGTACATTCAGTACTGGCTTACATATGCTCTTTGTGGGGCCGGGTTTGGGCGGCGACATACGCGTGGTTCCGTGCCGCTGAAACTAGTGGGCATTGTGACTGAAGGCTTTGCTGGCGTAGTTTTTTTTTAATTTTTGTTACGTTGTTTGATAACACGCCGACATCGAAATGGAGATTGTGGCAGACTGCTATGTATAGTTCAGGAATTCAAATATTATTCAGTCACACACATGCAAATTGACCACGAATGGACGCAGGTGGCAAACGCGAGGTGCAACGGATCTCTGGAGAAAAACGGAATGCAGATTGGTTTATTTTTGCTTTGTTGGAGACACTGTTATAACTTTATGCTGACTAACGCTTAGATCTGTTTTCGCCGTGGTATAGTTTTTTTTGGTAGTGTTGCTCTTGTTAGAGTTGTGATTGTTATGGTTTTAACAACACTTAATTGGTTTCAGAAAACCAAGTGATTACACCCCTTGTTACATTCGTCTGTCGGAGAAGAGCCGAAAGGAAGGAGGAAAGGCGGCGGAAAGAGATCGAGAGGAGGAAAGAAGAAACCCGGAAGGCCAAGGAAAAGCTGAGCAAAGAAAAGCGAGAAGCAAGAGAAAAGGGCCGACACGACACCAAAGAGTCCTCTAAGGTGCGTACTAGTTATAAGCGCACTGTTTTCACTGGACTCATGCACATTTGATGTGATGACGTTGGGTACAGGTGGACGCAATTGTATCGCCTAAAGAAATTGTTCCGCATTTGAAGATATTGAAGCGAGCATCGTATATGATAAAATGTTTGTTTGTAAACACCAGGGGATCGCATCGACCCCCTCCCCATTATTAGTTTACATTATGAAGATGGACGTGTCAAGGCGAGGGTTAAGTCGTTCAGTTTAAATCTTATTTCCATCATAATTTATACCATTGTCCAAATTTCCGCGTTATGTAGCACAAAACGTAGTTATTGTACGATATCTGCCATTTTCCTTTGTTTTGCTTTGTCCTGAATTGCCGTAATTTCCTGCTTATCCGGAGGACAGGCCGCATGCGCCAGCTACAAGTGGGCAGAAGGGCCCCTGGTGGGTGCTCCCGTCCGAGCGCGCAGTGCACCCCGTGCAGAGAGGTCCCTGGGGGGGGGGGGGGGGGGGCGGGGGGGGGGACAAGGCTCAGTCTCAGTCTCAGCGGTGTGGTCCCCAGGCGCATGTAGCTCTGCCCCACCGTTATCAATGCTCTCTATATCTAGAAATCGTGCTTACGAACGCCAGATATGAACGACTCAGCCATTGTGTTTTTCTGGACTTCGATCGCCGCATGGCTTGTGGAATGACAGAGTCTGAATGATGTCATTATGACACCATGAATTTCAAGGTGACCTTGGGATACTCTCACTGAAAAAAATTTCCCATGTTCGCTGGGGTGTAGCTCAGAAATTAGAGGGGTCTTGGGTTCTCAGAAGGGCAGGGCTGTGAGCTGCACCGAATGATCTTGAAGATAGCCATTTCAGTTCACGACTCTGTACAAATACAGAACACTCTGTTTAATATTGTTAACATTATCTTCCTTCCAGCAGGCGCTTTGGAATGACGAGCAAGAAAGAAAACGTGATGATGGCCCCGCGGGGAAGAAGCACGACGACAAGCACAAGGAGAAACACGGTAAAGACGCTGGCAGAAGTGATAAAGAAGAGAAATATAGACGCAGGGACAAGGAGGAGCGATGGAAAGAGGGTGAAAAGCACAAGCGTGAGGATAAAATCAAGCAGGCGAAAGAAGAGCGAAGGAAGGACAAGGAATGGGAGGACAGGAAGAATAAAGCTGAGAAACACCCTCATCCTTCTGATACCAGGTGTGTGATCGTGAACGTACAGTGCTCCGCCACTTTTTGTGTGATGAATCTGATGCCACCTCCAGGATAAACACGCATGGCGCTGGGAGACCATTGCCAACGCGTGCTCTCGCCGAGTTCATTAGTCGGGCATTTACACTGTGAGAACAAACCGCGTGATATAAATATCGATACGCTGTCCCACATCCCGAGCCGAAAGGTCTTGCCATGCCTGTGCTGTGTGCGCCTGACTTGGGTAACCACCGGCTCTGTCCGGCCAGCTCCGAGGCGTCGGCGGCGGCCGGTAAGCCGACGGCGGGGGACAGACGCGGTGGGGACGGCGACGTCGGCCGACAGGGGGCGACGGCGCCGACGCGCGATGGCGCCAAGCCGGCGCCCGCCAGGGACGGCTCGGAGCCGAAGCGCAGGGAGCCGAAGGCAGACCGGCGCATCAAAAACAAGGTCGGTACGGGGGTGGAGAGCACTTAAACTGCGGTGAGCGCAAAGGACGCGGGGCACGGCGGACCTAACTTGCCGTATCAAATGTGAGGACCTTGAATGGATGCACCCAGCAGGAGGTTGTCCGATTTCCGAATCAGGGGTTGACCGATAAGGCTTCGAACAAGGAACGCTCGGGGTTGCAGGCGTAATATCCGCCTGATTGAAATATGCATGACGATGTAATGATCAGTATCCAGTAAAGGCCGGCAGCACGCAGCCGTCCCCGGAGCTCAGCGTATGCGTTGCGCTGTAGGGTCCAGGGATCACATTAGTATCGTCGAGACGCGCTGTCTGTGCATGCGGCCTATGACAGGGCGCTTGTTATGCCAGAAGTCTGACGTAAATGGTTTATGCAAAGTTAAGTGCTGATGACGCCGAAAGACGCTCAGGGCTTTGAATTCCTTACTGCTGGAACACGAGTCACGGTTTTAAGCATGCGGTCGTTACAAAAGAGGCGAGAAGACGCTCAGCGACCGGCAATGTTGGTCAGGGCTGAACTTTGTTAACTGTTGGCATATTCAAGCGACCCGCGTGGTGCTGGCCGGACCAGCCGCCGGCTTTTCGTATGTCGTGGCTATAGAACAGACACGCACCCTGCGAGATGCGGTGCAGGGGCGTTCCCAGCATGCAAACTGCAGGACAGATGAGATGCGCGGAAACATAACTTCTTAACTCCAACATAATTTCCAAAAACACTGCACTTGTGATTACTGGTAACATGCGCATGGCGTTTGTTGCCGCGCGTGTTGGGCTAATGTGGTCCCGGGGCACCGCTCTGGAGTGCCGAAATGTTTTTTCCCCGTTGGCCACGCCTCGCGTTCTGTAGCGACAGAGCACGAAATGCTGCGATGTTTCGGGTCGGGCCGCTGACATGGACCGCGAAGGTACAGTTGATCCGCAGGAAATGTGGATGGCATAAGCGGCTGATCGCGGACAAGCGTATTTCGACTTACCGTGGCGCTGTAAGGAGGGCTTGTGCTCGCTCTGTGCCGCTAACTCGCCCGCCGCCGCCAGGACCGGCCGTCACTCACCATCTACCGGCCGGGCATGGGCAAGTACTCGAGCAAGCGGCTACAAGAGCGCGACTCGCAGTCGTCGAGCCCGCCGCCGGCCGCGGCCGAGTCGGCTGACGCCGACGAGCCGCAGCGGCGCACGCTGGTGTTCCGCCGCAGCCGCGGCGCAGAGCCCTGAGAGGTGTCGCACGCGTCCGGCCTGTCCGCAGCTGGTGATGACGGAGGAGACGGCGCCTGCCGTCTGCCGGCACGCGCAGCAGCGCCTCCCATCGGGGCGTCGATTCCTATTGCGGAGCGTAGTCGGGATTGTGCAAGATCGTTGACAAGTTGCTCAGCGACGCACGTGAATAGGAAATCGGCAGGCCGCGCAATGGGCTATTCTGAAATATATTGGCGATTGCTGGTCCCAAGGTTCAAGTTCCTATTAAGGGTTCATATTTTATTTGGACTTCGACAAGACGATGCCAACGAACACTTAACACAAATAACGCTGCTGAAATGACGAACACAATGATTCACGTAAGGCAAAATGAGGCCGACTGTTCGTCACAAATCTGTTGGGAGTCAAAACGAAGATACGATGATCCTTCTGCTGGTCGACAAGCATTGTCAATTTGCAGCGAAACAATTACACACGTGCCATACTCTGCCGCAACGATACACGACGGTGACCAGCTTTGACCCCTGCCGTTGCCCAATAAACTCCAAATTCCTGTTTTGTCCGGTTTCCCCAGCAGTGAAACAGAGCGAAAAGACCGGAACACGGCGGTGTGTGCTGTTGCTGCGGTTGCCACGCATTTGGCCGTGTGATCGCACCCACCACGGTCGTAGGAGACGGCGAGCGGGCGTGACAGACCCACCAGCAGTCACAGCAGTGATAACGCTCGCAGCTCTTATGGTACTGGCGGACGGTTCATCGGCCCGGCGTCGGCGCGATACATCTATTTCGGGTAAAACACAGCACTTCTTGCCAAACACTAAGCAAAACGCAGGAGGCTCCTAGACCTATCTAAGCTAGCCAACGTTGCAGCGCAATTTGGTCATATCGGGAAAAAACTTTCAAAATCGCAGGTAAATAATACTGCAAGACAAGACCAACTGAGATCGCACAACGGAACGCGTCGAACGCACCACAGAAAAGACACAAGATCGCCACAGAAAAATAGCGATACTATCGCGATTACAGTTCACCACAAAACGACTGAGAACAGGGAAGATTGAGAACGAGGCCACCGCCCGCCCGCGAAGCACAGCACCAACTGCCCTCCTACACCGTGGTTCTCGCGAGAACACCACGACGCCAGTGCCCAGCTTCACAGCGTTCAAAGCGCGTTCAGTGCTAGATAAAACATCTCTAAGAGATAGGGCCTACCAAAAATAACCTCTCGTGGAGGAGCAGAGAATCATGATCCAGAAAGCAATTCTTCAACCCCAACAAAATGAACAACTGAGATGTTGACAATTATGTACCTTGCATTACCGTGCCGCTGCCAACTAAAACATCCAACATAAAACAAACAACGCGACATAGCGACAAAACCACTTCCTCCAAATCATCCCCACATAGCACGTGCCTAGGCCCAAATTTTCCCGAAAAGATGGGCCACTGGGACTACGGGATATTGCTGAGTCAATTACGTGCGTAGTTCTCACCCTACCTTCCACATTCCTTTCGCGCATGTTTTATCTTTCGCATCTAAAGAACCGCAAATACTGGGAAGAATGCTGCAACAGTCTGGCTATTTAACCGCAAGCCGTTTTGTTGGCGGAACCAACGACGTTGCGACCAGCGAAACTTTCTATTTCAATCAAATGCCTGAAATTTTCATATCACCCCTTTGCTTCCTTTCGTATTTATGTTCGCGTCCCCCTCCTTGGGTTGCAATTCTGCGCAGTTTTGACCACCTACTGGGAGACTAACGTCACATGATGACGCGCATATTGCGGCAACGTTTCAACCATAGTATTTCTGCGAAGACAAAGCACAGGGGTGGCACTCTGTCCAGCATTCGTGCCGTCCGGAACCTGAATCCTTTGCTCCGCCAGGAAACAGGAACACATTTGGTAGACCCGCTTTCCTTCTCTCGCTCTAAATCTATAAATAAAGCTCGACATAGTTAACAACGTTCAGCACAACCAGATCCGACGCTACATCGAACAGCGAACAAAAGCACATCACTATACTGGCACATCAACGTCGCTACACATTTAACAATCCGTAGTCGACTGTAAACGCCCTGTGCACTACACCACACAGTGTAAACCGGCAGTTACCACCCGCTCAGGCCGGTCTGGGGCGAATGTTGACTGGTCGCCTGGCCGCCAGCCGGTGAGCGGCAGCTGACCAGGCAGATACAGCTGCGGCGGCAGCTGGCCAGCGGTGGTAGCTGGCCAGGCTGCAGTCACCGCCGCCTCCGCCGCCAAGGGCTGACTAGAACAATCAGGTTACGGTACATCTCAACGTGTGACATCGCGCCATTCATTGGTTTAACCGACAGGGGAGATGACAGCAATCACAAAGTTAATTAACACGGCGGTGACCGAACTCGACTGTGCCGTAAGCTCGCGGTGGTCGCGTCCTCAGGCGGAGGACGAGTCCTCCCGGGTAGAAAGTTCATAGTGGCGCGTCCCCAGATGGAGGCCGAGTCCGGGCGGTAAGCTCGCAGTGGTCGCGTCCTCAGGCGGAGGACGAGTCCTCCGAGGCCGAGTCCGGGCGGTGAGCTCGCAGCGGTCGCGTCCTCAGGCGAAGGTCAAGCCCTCCTGGGTAGTAAGCTTATAGTGGCGCGTCCTCAGATGGAGACAGAGTCCCACAGGGCGGTAAGCTGGCAGTGGTCGCGTCCTCAGGCGGAGGGCGAGTCCTCCTGGGCGGTAAACTCGCAGTGATCGCGTCCTCAAACGGAGGATGAGTCCTCCTGGGCGGTAAGCTCGCAGTGGTCCCATCCTCAGACGGAGGACGAGTCCTGGGCGGTGAGCTCGCAGTGGTCCCATCCTCAGACGGAGGACGAGTCCTCCTGGGCGGTGAGCTCGCAGTGGTCGGCCCACCAGCCGGTGACGTCTGACCAGGCGGCGGCGGCCGGCGGGCAGCTGCCGGCCACCGGCCGCGGCGTGTCCGGTGACGCTAGCGCCGCCGCCTCGCCGGCCTCGTTCACGTCCGGCAGAGACTTGTTGCCCACTGGCGGCCAACAAGGAGGGCGGTCGGCGGGACGGGCCACACATGGGAGACTGACGGAGCCCGGGCAGCAGGCCATACAAGGCTGGGCGGCACTATTCAGCGAGCATTCTGAGATGGTGTTCAATAGGCGCCGAAGCCTGATGACACACATCAACATGTTTGGCAACGCCATTACCTAGGCTCAATGCAAATGACAAGTATTTTTGCGGAGCGTGCACGCGTTTATCAACAGCATGACAGTTTGCAATCGCCAGCGATGGACAGAAACGCGCGCAGCCATGCGCGCTGGCTCTCGGTGGCAAATGAAGCAAGTCACTTAGTCTAGTGTGCACACAACTCACTTCCACTTAAGCAATGAACTTGGCTTTAGCTGCCAGCCACGCGAAAATTGTGTCTTACGCCGACGAGTACCTCGACAGAGTACCAGACACGTGGATTCCTTTTCGCTCTAAACACAGCCGGCCCAACACCCATTCCCAGATGATAGCGAAGCAGTGCCGTTTAAGCAAAACGCAGCACGTACTGACAACACACACACAACACGCACGCACGCACGCACGCACCGCACGCCACGCACGCACGCACAGCACAGCACACACACATACGCACACGCACGCAGCCCCGCGCACGCGCACACACCACACACACCACGCACGAGCACGCACAGCACGCACCCACACACACACAGCACGCACGCGACACGAGCACCGCACGCGACACAACACACACACACACACAACACCACACACACACACACACACACACACACAACACACACAAACGCGCAGCCTATGTCTCGGGCCGAGGCCGCCGCACCCACCGGCGGAGCGCGCGCGGCGCTTGCTGGCCGTGCGCTCCTTGTCCTTGACGACGCTGGCGTCACTCAGCGACGGCGTGAGAAACTTGCGCGCTGCCGAGCCCACAGAGTCCGAGCGGCCCATGCAGACGCCCTTCTTGCGCTGGCGCGGCGGCGGGTCGGCCGGCTCCTGAGCGCGCGCAAACTATGAGAGAACGGCGCAGCCACACCGCAGCACCGCGCATCAACGAGCCACACCCACATGGCGTGATTGCAGGTCTCAAAGCAAGTGGCCTCGTTATGACAAGAGAGGACGACTGAAGCGCGCAACGCAGCGGTATTATCAATGTCCGCGCGCACTATTGCATTTCAGCCTGTTTTTACACTACATTCTCCAGTCGGTCGGCTGTCGCAGCCCAGTCCGAAATATGACGTCAGACCGTGACCCAAATAGTGTGACGTCACTTCGCCCTGAGCGTCAATGAGAACGTCCGTCTTCCTTGACCACCCGCAGCCCGTCTACAGCAGGTTCTGCCGCCGACGTACTCGCGATCATACCACTGAACACGACAAGAGGTCCGACAACGGTCCAGCGACGGGCATCAGTGAGCTCAGCACCTTTTCACTAGCCGTTGGCAACTCGAAAGAAAAATTGTCGTATGTTGCGCTTCCAAAAATGTCTCCAAGTGTGACGTAACCGCGGTAAGCTTGACAACACCGCAGAGAGTACGCACACAAGCGACTCAAGTAGCTGAGTGGTTCAGGTCGGCTCCGGTTTACTTGCGGCCAACGGGGCCGTGGATGGAGGGAGGGAGGGGGGGGGGGGGGGCGGGCAGATAGGAGGTGCCCCTACCTATATTCAACGTTAAAGCAAACCCAAAAGTGTCGCATTGCACGAAAACAACACCAGCCGAAAGACAGAATTGTGGCAAAAATGTCTTGCGGCCAACTGTTGCAGGCAGTGCGGGCGATGTGAGGCCACAGTGACGTCTCCCAATCGGTGTGAACAGCTGACAGGTGCAGAATCTGCTGCATAAAACGGACTGAAACGCCATAGTGCGAACGGCGTTTTAGATTACCACTGCCGACATGAAAACTGGCAAGGCTGCGAAAATCGCGTCGTTAGCCGCCAGAATGGTCGACAAGGAGGCCAGCAGACGCGCACCACGCCGGCGTCGTCTCGCAGCCTACAGGACACATCATGAGCGCTGCGATCGTGGCGCGTGACCTGTCGCTGCCGGCGCGGCCGCGGCCGTACCTCCTCCTTCTCCTTCTCGCGCTCCAGCCGGCGCTCCTCGTTGAGCCGCATGAGCGCCTGTTCATTGGTGGCGCGCAGGCCGGCGATCAGACTGCTCTGCTCGCGCGCCCTGATCCGCTTCAGACAGCCGTCCAGCCTGGCGGGCACCGACGCCGGACGGCTCAGTGCCCAGAGCGACACCAAACATCTCGCACAACTGACCAATCGGCAGCAAACTGTCACATCAGCCTGGCGGGCACCGGCGCCGGACGGCTGAGCGCCCAGAGCGACACCAAACATCTCGCACAACTGACCAACCGGCAGACAACTGTCACATCAGCCTGGCGGGCATCGGCGCCGGACGGCTGAGCGCCGAGAGCAACACCAAACACCTCGCACAACTGACCAACCGGCGGACCAACATTCAGGGAATGCTTGTCATTTCACAATACTGAAGCAAGCACCAGCTATGATGAAATAGTCTTACAACTATTGGTATACAGACTGCTCTGGGAAACGCAATGTCCCTGTTGAGTAAATATGATCCCAAATACGTCGTTGTTTTGATTACGTCATCGCACTTTGCACAACACTAATTGAGAGCGAATCGATGGCCGCTTTGTTTGGAACTTACGCTCACGAACGCTAGATATTACCGACTCAACAATTATCTTTTTATTGGCCTTGATCGTCGCATGGATAATAGAATGACAGGATTTGAATAACGTTATCATGGCGTCATGGATGACTGGGGGAACCTTGACACAGCCTCCCCCGAATAGTCTGTGCACCTTCGCGGGCGTTTAGCTGCTGAGAAACTAGACGGGTTTAGCTCTTACGAAAGGCAATGATGTGAACTGCACCGATTGATCTCCAAGATGGCTATTCACTACAACCCCTCCCCCCCCCCCCCCCCCCCCAACACAAATGTGGTACACACAGCTAAGTCACACACCCAGCCTAACGTGAGACACACTGGCATGAGCCGAACACAACCCAGGTGATCAGCCTACCGGACGTGAAGACGACCGATGGTTGTTATCGTTACAAACGTTTGCGCAGATTCCCTGGTCTGAAGGGTGCCCGCGTTCGCCGGCGCCGCTCACCACTGCCGGATGGTCTGCTTGGCCACCTCCTCCTCAATGATGTATTCCAGCTCCTCGCGGGCCAGCAGCTCCTCCAGCTGCAGACTCTTGCGAATGTCCACAGAGCGGTAGCTGAGCATGTTCAGCACGTCGTGGAAGGTCACCTCCTCGCCGTTGTGCAGCCGCTCCAGTTCGTAGCACATGTGCTTGAAGAGGAGTCGATCCTTTTGCGGGTCCACCTCCAGCCGGCCTGCGGCGCGGCCGGCGTCTGTTAGCGGGGCGATTGTGGCACTGGCCGTGGCGTTGTGCCAGCACGACGTGTCTGACGGGCAACGCGAAAACTTCGACCTTAAAATGCATCCTGTTTTCGGTCTGGGTATGTGCCCATAACGTTTAATGAGCTATTTTCCGGAAAATTTCCTACGTCGAAACTGTCGCGTAATTGCGCTTAAACAACCAGAATGTATCACTGCATTCAAGGACATACGACATACATCTGGGTCTCAAAACCAAATTCATCCGCACAACTTATGCACAGAAACTCGAACGTCTACATGAATGATTCAACGCAAACTGGTTTAAACATACCAGCTTCCATGCCACACCCTGAATGCCTCCTTCGCGAAACACCAGCCGTGACACCAGATCCCACCATACACGTTACAAACACTTTTCTGCGCTGTGGCACCATCTCACCCTTGAGCAGACGCAGGATGAACTTGACCTTGCGGACGGGGATAACGCCGCGCTGGTTCTTGTCCACGACGTTCCACGTGTTCTGGAAGTTCCTGATGTCGGCGTAACTGAGCAGCGCGTCCTCCTCGTTGGAGTAGAAGAGGGAAAAGTTCTCCATGATGATGGCCACCAGCAGGTTGAGCACGATGTACGTGATGATGACGTAGAAGGAGCAGAAGAAGACGAGCGCCACCGTGAAGTTGCCGCAGTCGGTGAGCCAGTAGGAGGAGCCGCGCGCCGCCGGCGTGCACGACGGCGGCTCCACCATGCAGTCGTGCATGATCTGGTTCCAGTCCTCGCCCGTCACGATCCGGAACAGCATCACGATCGAATTGGGCGCCGTCTTGAAGTTGGCCTGCCTGCCGACAGCCGCGGCGGGTCACGTGATGCGGTCGTGACTGTTCGGACGGGTCAGCCGGGGTCAACTGTTTGACCGCCCGCTCTCCCTGGTGGTACGTCAGCTGACAGCTCCTAGCTTCCAGATATCGACCTCGGGTCGGACCACTGAGCCCTGGATCCAAAAATCCATCATACCATTTCGCCGAATGCTCTTGGATTCAGGCCCTATTCTAAATGTTCGCTGATGAATTACCTTGGACGTTGGATCATTTCCATGATGTTTAACAGGGTCTGCAGAGCTGACGTTTTACGATTTGGACTTCCGTTCGGCCAGTTTTCCTCAGTCTATTCTGACGGACCTCCCCAAAGGCACGTCACTCATTACAAGCGAGTCCGCTGGTCAGGCCGGTCTTATAAGAACCATGAAAACATGGCGAACTTTAGTGGCCAGGCTCAGTCGTCACCCCTTCCAGAAAGACATGTTTGGAACCACTGGTCGCAGGTTCATGCAGTTTTCAGCGACGAGAAACCGGATTCATCACACGTGTGCAGTGTTCAGGTGTTTTGCAAGTTCGTTTCCGCAGTGGACGTTAAACCGTAGTTGTTCGGCCGCCTAGCAGAAATTACAGGAACCTGTGTTTGGTCATGCCACCGCTGCGGGGTCTGCGTACGGGGCGACGGCCTTTTGTGCGGGTTGTCTGTGTGGTGCGACGCGGCTCGCTGTGTAGCTGTGGTGGGCTGAGCTTCTCAGGCAGACATTATTGCAAGTAATTGTTTGATTTACGTATGAAACAATAAACCTGTGTTAGCGAACGGAATATTACAACGTGTTATAGTGCATAAATGGCTAGGCATTTGGCATTTAACAGCGCTTGATCATGAGCCTGTTCGAGTAATTATGAACAGCACTCTCCATGTGTGGCGGGCGCGATCGTCTCACACGCCTGTTTGAGTGATCATGAGAGGCATTTGTTATGTGTGGCGGGCCCCATCGTCTCACCAGCCTGTTTCCTTGAGTGATCGTGAGCAGCATTCGCCATGTGTGGCGGGCCCCATCGTCTCACCTGCCTGTTTGCTTGAGTGATCGTGAGCAGCATTCGCCATGTGTGGCGGGCCTCATCGTCTCACCTGCCTGTTTGCTTGAGTGATCGTGAGCAGCATTCGCCATGTGTGGCGGGCCCCATCGTCTCACCTGCCTGTTTGCTTGAGTGATCGTGAGCAGCATTCGCCACGTGTGGCGGACCCCATCGTCTCACCTGCCTGTTTGCTTCAGCGATCGTGAGCAGCATTCGCCATGTGTGGCGGACCCCATCGTATCACCTGCCTGTTTGCTTGAGTGATCGTGAGCAGCATTCGCCATGTGTGGCGGGCCTCATCGTCTCACCTGCCTGTTTGCTTGAGTGATCGTGAGCAGCATTCGCCATGTGTGGCGGGCCCCATCGTCTCACCTGCCGATTCCCTCTCCATATTTGACGGTGCCGAACAGAATCGTGCCGGCGAAGGCATAGCTGAGTAGCAGAAGAAACATGCCCATGATGATGAAGAAACTTTTGTAGACGGATACCACCACGGTGAGCATCAGCATCTTAAGGGTGGCGTGCTTGCCCGTGATGGTGAAGAAACGCAGGATGATGCAGATGAATCCCAGCGAGTTGGTGTAGTTTTTTTGCATCTTGGTCTTGGAGACGGGGGAGAGTGTTTGTCAAAATAGTCGAACCCATAAGGCAATGCCGTTTGGTAACGACAGGATCAAATTGAAGGCATTCTCCATATTAGCTACTCGTAAATTGGACAAAGCACTTCTCGTCACGCTGCCGTCACCTCAGTTCAGAGAAGGTGCACGGCTGGCGGAGGCCCAACTCACCATGGGGAACGTGAAGTTGAGGATGACCCAGATGAGACCGAGCACGGTGACGAAGAGGTCGTAGCGGTTGCGACGCGACTGCCAGTAGCCCCGCGGCGAGAAGGCGATCATCTTCATCACAACTTCGAGCATGAAGAAGAGGTTGAGGACGGAGGAGACCACAGCCAGGTACGGTGTGTATACGGCCGCGTAGTCCCACTGTGGGGGAAAGACGACCGCTCACGGACTGAGACAGACAGACACTGGTTCAGCGACAGGTGCTCCCCCAATGGTCCCTGCCGGGAAGTTACAACGTAAGGCTACAAACCGATCCCTGAAGAGGGCAACATCACATACGCCAAACACATGCAAAAATAGCCTTTTTATCACGCGATCGCAAAAATCTATCCTTACAGACACAATTTTACCCACCTTAGCTGAGAAATGGACAACAAATGCCACAACATGCTATTTCGGTGTGAACCCGAGCCCCCACCGACCTAAACAGTCAGTAACCACCGTCCGGCTCACACTGACACCGTCAGCTCACCTGCACACAGATGAGGCTGCTGTTGGTGATGACCAGCATGGCCACGAAACGCTTGAAGATGATGTTCTGCGTGAAGTCGTAGACGACGGCGCGCCAGCGGCGGCCGTCGGGCCGCGGCGGCAGGTGCAGCGGCTGCGCGATCTTCAGACGCTTCTTCAAGTCACACCTGAGCCCGGCGAAGGCGGTCAGCAGGCACGCTCAGGAAAGCGCGGAGAGCAAGCAGAATGCGGCGGTGTAAAACTACCGAGGATGCTTCTGCTCAACGAGGCCTGCAGGCACCGACTTCGCTACGCATCGACGCATTCAGCGTGAGGACGATGCTCGCTGATGTCCATGTTGAAGTACCGCACGGTCGGTATAAAAAACGAGTCAATTTCTAAAGTAATTCCAGAGTTCGCCGCAGAGACACAACGCAAAGACATTGTCCACTGATCCCGAAAGCACAGCTAATGTGCGGAGGTGGGAGTGTGACCGAAACATCACAGCGCAAGGCAGCCGCTGCTTAAGATAACAGAATCGAGCGGCGTAGCCCGGACTCCGGTGGACGGGGGGAGGGGGGGGGGGCGGCCCCACACGAGCTCTCCCCAGCGCCGCTGGTCGGAGGTGGACAGGAGGCGGCCCCCACACGAGCTCTGCCCAGCGCCGCTGACCGACAGCGGACGGGGGGCGGCCCCACACGAGCTCTGCCCAGCGCCGCTGACCGACAGCGGACCGGGGGCGGCCCCACACGAGCTCTGCCCAGCGCCGCTGACCGACAGCGGACGGGGGCGGCCCCCACACGAGCTCTGCCCAGCGCCGCTGACCGACAGCGGGCGGGGACGGCCCCCACACGAGCACCCCAGCGCCGCTGGTCGGAGGTGGACGGGGGCGGCCCGCCACACGAGCACCCCAGCGCCGCTGGTCAGAGGTGGACGGGAGCGACCCGCTTCACGAGCTCTCACCAGCGCCGCTGGTCGACGGTCAGCAGCGCCGTGCCCTTGTTCTCCGAGTAGTTGGCGATCACCACGCCAACGAACAGCGTCAGGCCGATCATGCAGCCGATGAACACGAATATGTGGATGTAGATCGACTGTACCTGTGCAACAGACGAGATTTCAAGCAGTGTTACAAGACGTAAGTCACAAACCAAACGCATCCGAGCTTGAGGGCACTGAGACGGCTTGTTTATACAGCAACACTCACTTGCCGCGTAAAAACTTGACCATAGCGTAAGATGTAAATTTGACCGACAACATCACTAATCATCGATCAAACAAGCTTTCGTAGTTTAATCAATGCCAAGATAAGCCACCAGGGAATTTCGAAACGCAACATTAAAATCTATAGAGCGTACGGCGTCAAAAACCTGCATGTCCTTGCCATAGTAGTGTTTCAAACTCTTTCAGCTTATTATTGCGAGAAGCAGCCAACCCTTCGCCTTATAGAGCCCACTTGTCGCCGCAAAAGTCAGCGATTTCACCGTGGCTCGAAAAGCGTGATCAGCACCACCTGCCAGGAATCCCGTGTCCTACTCAGGCTGGAACCGCGGCTCGAATCTCGGCGGGTTTCACACGCCGCTTTCAAAGCGTTGGTATACATCCCAGCGGCAATCCCTGGCGCATGCGCCATTAAAGGATCGCAAACGTTTACTGTTCGCTCATGACCACACATAGTGCATTAATGTTCTGTCGCATGATTCCACGCCTTGCAATATCAGTGATACGTCGAAGTGCCGCTGCATCGCATCTTTTGTCGGTATGTGACGGGTTTGGCAGTGGTGTTAAATTGTCTGCGGCGGAGTTTGCTGCTGGCTTTCATCGCCAGTTCGTCCGTTAACGTTTCGTATGAGTTACTTTCACATTGCTCATGAGAGCTGCCGGCTGGCTCGGAGATAATGGTCGGCGTGGCTCGCACACTCTCAGAGATCCAAAACAACAGAAACACGAAGGAAAAGACGAGCACACAGCGTAAGACTGAAAAACGGAGAGTAAGTAAGGCGTAGACGCGGCGTGGCAAAGACAGACGTGTGCGAAAATAGATCACTACCCACGGCGGAGACTGGCCGGATGACGGAGTATTCCTCCTTACAAACTTTTAATGCGTAATGCACAATGCATGGACCTCTCATCTCGAATCGGCAGCACTGGCCAGCGGCGAGGCTCGGGATACAAGATGAGAGGGATCGGAGAGGATACCAACCACATAATGGGGGAAATGAGAGGAACTAGAAGCGAAGAAAGACGGATGCACGGAAGCAGAAACAGCTTGGTCTCACCAGACAGCCCAATCTTAATGATGAAAATAAAATTATGCGAAACCAGGAACAGACAGCACGCCAATGTACAACGGGAGAAGCAATCCACAACACGCTTGGGCGCGTGGGCGGTTTTGACAGGCGCATCGAGTGGGCACGGGACACGGGCGGGCAGATCGCTAAGTGAGCATTCACACCAGTGGCGAAGGGCCCGCCGGAAAGCCCACGCTCCATGTCGCTGTCGGCTTCAAATCTTTCAAATTTCAGTATACTTCAGTATACTATAGATGTGGGGTGTACAATCTGTACACCCAACATCACCGACTCTGGCTGGACATCGGTCGGCGCCAGCGCCCACCCACCAGGCGGCACACTTTTCCTGCGCATGTGCAATTGCCATAACCTCCTCCGTTATGCCTTATAGTCAGCATTCGCGGCACGCACACATGCGCAAGCGACGTCAGGGTCAGAAAGGGGTCCGTCCGGTGGAGAGCGTCGGCGAGCCTGGAGGGGGCCGCCGCCGGACCGCCCGGAGGGGCGGGGGGGGGGGCGCCGCGGTCCTCCGGCGGAGAGCGCGGCGAGCCGGGAGGGGGCGCGCCGCCGCCCGCCGTTGGAGAGCGGCGGCGTTCCGGGAGGGAGGGGGGCGGCGCCGCGGCCCGCCGGTGGAGAGCGGTGACGGGCCGGGAGGGGACGCGCCGCGGCCCGCCGTTGGAGATCGGCGGCGTTCCGGGAGGGAGGGGGGAGGGGCGCCGCGGCCCGTCGCTGGAGAGCGGCGGCGTTCCGGGAGGAGGGGGGCGGGGGGGGGGGCGCCGCGGCCCGCCGCTGGAGAGCGGCGGCGTTCCGGGAGGGAGGGAGGGGGGGGGGGGAGGGGCGCCGCGGCCCCCGTTGGAGAGCGGCGGCGTTCCGGGAGGGAGGGGGGCGGCGCCGCGGCCCGCCGGTGGAGAGCAACGACAGGCCCGGGAGGGGCCGGCAGCGTCAGTACCGGTCAGCCACTCACCGGACCAAGCCGCTTGATCAGCACGTCCCGGATGTCCAGCCATCCCTTGAAGGAGAGCACCTCGAACAGCGCCAGCATGGCGTTGCCGATCTTATCGAAGTTGAACCGTCGCGGGTTTGCCCTGAGGCGGAACAGGTCTTCAGCCTTGTACCACAGCGCCACCGGGATTCGACCCTGTGATTTAACCTGATCATTCGCTGAGGTCGATTGAAATGAGATATTCTCGCAGCTGACAACTTTGCGAATGAAACATACTAATCATCCACTAGCCAGTAGCGCGAATGCCATCAATCCCTGGTTTTTCAACATTAAGGGCTATGTTCACATGTGATGGATCTTCAAAATGCAGTTTGGTATACTTAAGGTCCGCTGTTAAATGCACACCGCCTCACAACACTCGAACCTGACAAAGGCCGGGGCAATCAGCCGCCAACGAACAGCTTGGGGCGACACTGCCTGCTTCTCTCTATCTCTGAAAACCATCAGCCGACATTGCCAATGCAAGCGCAGTTGAAAACGCTGCAGCAACGTCCAAGACAACCTCAAGACTTCCCATGACGCCACTGGGCAGGTCTAGACAACAGACAGCGCCCCTGGTCAGGTCCAGACAACAGACAGCGACACTGGTCAGGTCCAGACAACAGACAGCGACACTGGTCAGGTCCAGACAACAGACAGCGACACTGGTCAGGTCCAGACAACAGACAGCGACACTGGTCGGGTCCAGGCAACAGACAGCGACCCGATTGCGATCACTCGCTAATGCAGGTAGAAGCCAGTTTGAAGCAAAAGTTATACATCTGTACTGTAATTACAGTGGCGGGCCCGGCGACGCTAGCCGTCATTGCGAAGCCTGGCGTGTAGTCACCTCAGCCGGACACGGGGTCAAGGTCACAACGCTCCATAGGCCGATGTGCTTCACAAATCTAAAATGCGAAAAACTGCCGGAATTTCAAGGTTAAAAATTGGCCACGGTGCGAGGCATCAGTATGGTTTCCAAATTACTGAGGTTGACAATGTCTGCGTCAGGTCACATCTGTGCCAATGTCCGAGTCGGGTCACATCTGTGGGTCAGCCAGGGCTGCACCTCAAAACCTCTTCATAATGACCTTTGATGGTCTGAAACGGCAGGCCTTGGGCTAAACTGTGTCCTAAGTCCGTATGCGAAGCACGAGCTGGTAGAATGCAGAACACCGAACCTGTGCGATTTGCCCCCCCCCCCCCCCTCCCCTCCCCGTGTACAACGCAACATAGAATGCAGTTGACCTGGGACGGCTTGGCACGTGAGGCGCTCCGGCGCGCCATGTGTGCGATAGGCACGGACCTCCAGACTACATAAAGACACCTTTTCTATGGCGTTTTCATACTACATACAGTAGCCATGTAGCACATTATTGGCATATGACAACACAGCATGGCGTTTAGGTGACTTAATCTGGCATTTGTTCAACCTCATAAAATGTGTTTGAACACACTGTCACGGCAGGATCATCGCACTCGAGCAATATCAAGACGACGAGGAAGCTTCCATATCTACGATGACGATTATGATCCAATTTTGAAATGATGAAGCCGGTCATCAACATAATGTTGACACCCAATTACTTTGTTGCTCCATTAGGGATACGGAAAGTTCGAGGTCGCCGGCACAGCTCACACGCAAGTTATGCTAAAAAAAGACTCAAAGGGGCAGGACCCACAAGGAATTCACAGTGACCTGGGAGATGATGCATTTATCAGACGGTCGTTGGAAATGCGTCCCAATCGTCACCAGCCACTGAGCTGGTCACGAAGCAATCTCAGCTGCCAGTCCGCCGCGACACTCACCAAACGCGAGGCACCAGGATCATGGGGTACGTCTCGTTCTCGCGGTGCGTCATCTTCATCTTGGTGACGAAGATCTCACGTTCAAACAAGCCGACGCACTCCTCGCGGCGCAAGATGGCAGGGTCATTGCAGCGCGCCAGCCGGCCGCCAAACAGTTGCACCCCGTAGCTGGCGAACACGTACAGCAGCAGGATCAGCAGCACGGACACCTGCCGGGCAGGGGATCCTGTCACGGCTGGCCACCTCCGCCGGATGCCACCCAAGGCCGACTGACTTCAGAACAGCCCGCTCCTTTTCTTCAGAGGCGCTTACGCGCCGGTGTGCCTGTGCTACTCTCGGATATCTCGGTCTTTTTGCCGCCCTCATGGGTCCTCCACCGCTCCACTCGCAGGTGGGTTCTCTGTGTGCGTAGTACACCAGCCAACCCGTCGTCTTCTCACTCCAGCTCGCCGCTATCGGTCCCACCGGGAGCCACCCGTCCCACCGGGCGCCACCCGTCGCACCGCGCGCCACCCGTCGCACCGCGCGCCACCCACCAGCCACCACCAGTCTCACCGAGCGCCATCCGTCCCACCGGGCGCCACCCGTCCCACCGGGCGCCACCCGTCGCACCGCGCGCCACCCGTCCCACCGGGCGCCACCCGTCGCACCGCGCGCCACCCACCAGCCACCACCAGTCTCACCGGGCGCCATCCGTCCCACCGGGCGCCAACCGTCGCACCGCGCGCCACCCACCAGAACCACCAGTCTCACCGGGCGCCATCCGTCTCACCGGGCGTCATCCGTCCCACCAGCCACCACCCGCCCCACCGGGCGCCATCCGTCCCACCAGCCACCACCAGTCCCACCGGGCGTCATCCGTCCCACCGGGCGCCATCTGTCCCACCAGCCACCACCCGTCCCAACGGGCGCCACCCGTCCCAACGGGCGCCACCCGTCCCACCTAGCGCCACCCACCAGCAGGATCTCCTTGAAGCCACGGCACAGCTCGCGCACTACAGTGCGCATGTGCGGCACCAGGTAGACGATGCGCAGCGGACGCAGACAGCGCACGATCAGCAGCAGCTGCTCCCAGGAAACCGGCTCCACCACGTCCGGCATCCACAGCAGGAACACCAGCGACACCTGCACACAGGAACGCAGAGCAGCCCTGAGACCTGGGCGCCACCAGGGGCATTTCATTCAGTAGTTTTGGATGGGAAACGACAAAAATGAGATGTGCACAAACAAATTACTCAGATTATGGTACACAGACCGCTGAATGTGAGAATGTGATACTAAAACCTTGTCGCAAGTCTCAGATTGGGCAGTACATTTCGCTCCAAGTACCGTGGAGGGCAGTACATATACCGGCGGCCACCATGTGGGATGTGGATCGACGAGTCCCTGACTAACATCATCCCCCCCAGCCACACAGCAGAAGAGCCAAAAACACTACTGGTTCGCGGCACTCTCGCGCTATGCCCAAGCCACCACAGACAGCGTGCCCGAGCAAAGGGTGAGCCCACCCGGCACTGTCGCACCTTCTCCCCACTTATAGGTCGGCCGAGCACACATGATCGTCCTTGACGGGGAGAACATCATCCACCGTACCCGGACAAAACGCAGACCCGACCTAGTCCCAAAGCTCTGACAAAAACAACCATCCGCACCAGACGCATCTATCTTCTCGCGGCGTACTGATACTCGGAATTCCACTATGAATACATATCGGGCATACACGGCACAAGCACTTCATATATCGCATGCTGTGCTGTACGTGGCGCTGCGGGTGCGCGCTCTACACAGTGTATCAGGAGCCTGCTGGGAGTCAGACTCGCGCGGCGTGCCCACCACGTAGATGAAGAGGTCCAGCAGGCCGCCCACGTCACGTATCAGCGACTTGGGCGTGAAGAGAAGGCCGTCGGCCAGTACCTTCAGCGCCAGCTCCACACTCATGGCCACCACGAATATGTACTCCGACACCTGGCGAGGAACAGGCGGAATCAGCGCCAGCACCACGCTCAGTCCATGTTCAGGGGTATGCACGCTGACAGGCCGGCAGCAGATACCGCCCGCGGGGCAGGGCCACAGTCCTGGCCACCAGTGGCGAGGTATGAGCAGGCAGCTGGCACACGGCGAGAGCACAGGAGGGAGCATGGACAACGTGGGAGCGGGGCAGGTGATGGTCACGCTGCCAGCTCGTTCAAAGAGCGGGATTGAGGGAAAGTGAGGGGCTGAAGCCGGGAAGATTGCTTGACACAAGACGATAAATATATCCGGGTCTTCGCGACGTCATGAACATCTTCCCAAATAAGGACACCAACTTATGCTAACGGAAGAAAAACGGACAATCGTAACGACAGGTGCCAGTCGATGTGTCCCGCTCACGCACGCAGTACCACGCGCCCTGGAAGCATGTCACGGATGCACCTGCTCCAGGACGTGTGTAAGGGTTCATGTCTGACCTTTGCAACCGGACCTGACTTCAGTGTATGGGGTGGACAAATGTTACCATCAGCTACAAATCCTTTTAATTAAGGGAATATTTCATATTTGAATGTACTGAGGCAGGCATCAGATAGGACGAAATAAGTTCACTTGTAACTGTTGGTAAGCGTTCAAGTGCAAAAGATTGATCTAGATAGCACAATGTCACTATTTAGTACACATACTCTTTAAAACGCCACCGTTTGATCGTGTCCTGGATCGCTTGTATGACGTCAAGAGTCGTTTTGAGATTAGCCGTACGAAATTGCCACCGTAACTGACTGACTTACTCAGTAGTAGAACTTCAGCTCGTAGAGAGGTGTCGTGCTATTCGGTGCGTGTTTGCGGAACGCAAACATCATTACGTGCGCGTGTTTCGGCTGTTCCTCGTGGCCTTTCTGTACATCTGTCGTGACTTCATATTGCATACGTGCACTCACATATTCGGTTGCGCGATTGTTAACTGACTTCGGTTTCCAGTCTCATTTCTGTCACAACTCGTACTAATTCTTGAAGTCCTGTGTTATGTAGCACAAAATGTGATGCGGCGCCATCGTGAACTGATTCGACTTCCAGTCCCATTTCTGTGAAAACTCGTACTAACTCTTGAGGTCCTGTATTATGTAGCACAAAACGCGATTCAATCACCCGATCGTCTTATCCTCTTTTCTTCTTTCATCATCAACCCTCCTGACGCCCCGCTGATCCAGGGCAGGCTTCATGCGCCCGCCAGCCAGTGGGCTAGGGCCCCCTGGGGAGGGGGACCCGACCGGGTGCCCAGCACACATCCTAAGCTGTTCCTGCGCGGGTAAGAGCTCGGTGGTCGGTTCCCAGGCGCATGCAGGCCTGCCCTACGGTTATCCATTATCCTTTATCCCATAGCCCTGAAATGATCATATCTGGTCGAAAGGACTCTAATCTAAATAACCAAACAACCAAATAACCAATCATGTTCGGAACTTACACTGAACGATTACATCGGCTGAGGGCCAACTAAAGTATACTAGTGTCAGAGATCGTGCTGACGTATGCGAGACGCGAACAATTCGACAACCATATTTGTATCGTCTTAAAGTACTACATGGCAAATGAGGTGACAGCATTCACGTGACCTCCCCAGGGCGTCACGCACATCCGAGTGGCTTTGAAGAAGTCTGCATGAAACAGTCTGCACAAACTCGCGGGCGTCAAGTGGTCACAAAAAAGGGTTTTATGTCTTATGTGGACCACTCCATTTAACGGTCTCACCAACATTCATCCCGCGAGTGGACACTGAACATAGGTGGATTTCTGCCTACTCGACACACAGAAGGGGTACGTCAATGTACTGGCCTATAATGGCACGGTATCCCAATAATGCTCCAACCACTTAGGTCGTAGCAGTCATCTGAACAATAATAACAACGACCGCACGCTATTCCTTGGCTCGTCCAACACTGCGAAATATCCTCGCTGGTTGGACACGAATAAATGTGGCATGGTCGTTTCTGGTGCTTTTGGAAAAACAACCAAAGAAACGCAACGCCAGCCTGCCTATGATCCGGCCGTTCGCCGCGCGGACGGACGCCGACGGACCGGCCAGAGCCGAGCGCTCACCTGCAGCTGCCAGTTCTCCTGGACACGAAACGTTGGCGTCTCGAACATCATGGATGCGCAGCTGACGGTGGTGATGAGGATCATCACCCAGTCCAGGTAGGTCACCAGTCCCAGCAGGTTACTGCCGGGCGCAGCGGGTCAGTCAGACGCAGATCGCGCGCTGCACAGGACCTGGCTTCAGCTGCCACCGAGGCCTGCATGGTCACCTCAAAAATTAGCGCCCAGCACACTCACTTGTTACATAGATGCTGCAGCTCATAGATCAGACGCATAGATTGTATCAAGAGAAGCTCCAAGAAAGGGTAGATCGAGGCTGTAGCAGTGTCAAGCTTCCCTTGGCGTCGAACACGGCGCCATTTTGGACGCAACACTCCCATCGAGTTTCTGTGCGGGAACCTAACACCAACCACTCCCCACTTCACCTCGCACACGACCCAGTGCACGAGGATTATACAAAGTGCGAACAGACGATGTGCCTCAACAGCGCAATGGGGGTCCTATTAACCCTCTGTTAAGCCTCAACAATTAATCCTCCCCCGCAAGCAGCCACCTTAGTCTCATCGCGGGGCGATCAATCACCACTCACTGGAGTCCTTTGTAGCGGACCTTGCGCTCCTGACCGGTGACCGGGTCCTTCTGGCGCGAGTTGTAGCGGGCATTCACAATCATCTGGCACAGCTTACGGAAGCGACTCTCGCGGCCAATTACAAACAGCGGCGTGTCGAAGTACGGGTGGTTCTCCCGCAGGTCTTCCTCACGCTGGTTCCTGCGAGTCAACAACACAGATGGAGTGCTCGTCGTGTGCAAGTGTAAGTGCAACACAGTCGAAGCGCGGGTGCTCCTCCCATAAAACGACGCTCCTCACGCCAGCTCCCTGTGGTCAGGCTGGCTGCAATCTAGCCGGAATTCTAGCAGCAACAGCACTGGACGGATCCCCACTTGCATTACGCACTGCTTCATCACAGCAAGGCGGTACGCCGCGAGGTTTACTGACCCTCAACACAGCACTACGTGCGCCACACATGACGACAAAATGAAAACGAAGCACGACGGGGAAATGACGACGGAAGCTTCTGCGTCCCTCCTCACGCTTCCCATGACGTTCTTCCGTCTCACTTTGGCCATGCCACCGCTAGAGCAGCGCCCACCGTTTCATCTCGGCCTGCTGCCGCTTGGCCTGCAGCAGCTTGATGTCGAAGTCGTGCGGGTTGCGGGCGTTGGCGGCGCCGCTGAGCGCGCCCACGTCCCCGTTCTCCTTCAGGTGGTCGTAGGTCTGCTTGACCTTGAGCGAGCCGCGCATGCTGCGCCGCATGGACCTGCCGCCCAGCCGCCGGTCAAAGGCGCTGACGGCGGCGCCGAGCGCGAGCCGCCGCTGCCGCTGCCGCTGCCGGCCCGGCGGACCGAGCGAGCGCTCGGTCCAGCAGCGTTATCACAACAGTCAGTGCGCCGGTGAGATTATCTCCTTCGTAGGGGCGTGGCATTGAAAGCAGGGGTGGCAACGGTGCGGTCGGAGTGAGGACACTGAACAAGACCGCGCGGAATGGTGACGTGCAGCCAGACCACCGATTCATACACCGCAAATGTGCTCGTGACGTGGCTCATGTTGATAGGTGTGCTGGTTTTTAATGATTCGAGAAAAAGAAACACTCTAAACAACTACAAACATACCAGAAAGCAACCGCAAAACCAGGTAAGCTTTCCAGGCAATGGCCATTCCATCACAAAAGTTAACGTGTGCGAATCCAAGCATCAAACCCAAACACATGGGTCGGCGAGCTAGGCAGCTCACAGTACGTCACAGAGTGCGAAAGAAAATCATTTGACGCCTACCAAGCACTAATCCGTCCGCGCCAGCCCAAAACCGCTGCCCGAACTCAATCTCCAGTCACGTCATCAGCAGCCGAGAAAAGGCATCCAGACGCATACCAGAAGGCATCCAGACGCATACCAAAAGCTGCCACAAGGACGAGCATCCCACGAAATACTGGACGGCACGGCAGGACACTAGCCGCTAGACTGCCGGACACGTTCCCGGCCACACTTCCGCCCGAGGGTGCTCAATCAGCTAAGACAAGTCGTAAATGGACTCCAAGAGACGGCAGCACGCCGACTCCAAACACCTCTCCTACCTCATTAATTGCCCGGTGATCAATGCATGTTAAAGGCATGAGAGAGGCGCGTTTAACCATATGCAGCCATTGGTCAGTGTCCCGCAGTTATGCTGTTGTCATTGCGGTCTTACGACGAACTCGGTTGCTGATTTTACATGACGCCACTAATTCCCTGGCCCTGGCAGGGCGGGCAGCCATCGCGAGGAATCAAATCACGTAGCTCAAGCCTCCCAGACTGAGCGCAGCTGAACCAGTACCCCTCCTGCAATTATGCATCGCGCAGCAGTGCACAGATTTACAGCTTCTTTTACGTTATTCACATGTGTCAAGTTTGAACAAGGCTCGTTAGATCGACGCCCACAGACTGGCGATACTCCTTCGTGTTTACCCATCGTCACAACGGGGCCTATCAAAGCATCACAAACCGTAAGGGGGAGACCTACACAGCGGAGCACTTACTTGGCGTTCTCAAACCTGGACTTGGCAGCCAAGCCCTTGCCCGGGGTTGGCAGCTGTCCGGAGTCGCCCAGCAGCAGCCGGTGGTTGTTGCAGTCACTGGGGCAGGTATGAGCGGTTAAGGTGCGCACGTGCGCGAACCCAGGGACGCAGAAACTGCGCATGGGAAGGAAGCCGGATTATCTATCGCACCTAGGTAATGACTCGACCAGTTTTTCCATGTAATCATTGAATGTAAAGCGAAAAACTTGCAACAAGTCATCTAAAGGAATTGAGCTAGTCATTAACATCTTGCATCGTTTGAGCGACTGCTTATATAGCAGTCTGATATTATTTGAAGGCAGTACATTTGTAACAAGCAGCGCCGTTTGAGTTGATTAGCTGCATCGCCTTCTGATTACGCCGACTGCAGAAAAGGACTCGAGAACACATTCATGAAAGACTGAGGCCACGGACACTTCAGCGCACAAGAACGGCAGTGCCGATGTCCCCACACAGTCCCGCGTCCGCCAGACTCCATACGCAGAGCCGGGAGCAGGCACCAGGCCGGCCAGCTCCACCCCCGCCGCGCCCACCGACGTACTCGACCAGACTGCGCACGCCGATGCTCTTCTGGTTGGCGTCCGACTTCCTGGCCGAGGTGGTCTTGTGCAGCAGCTTGCGGATGCGCGCGCGCCGGTACGCCAGCACCTGGGGGCGCGGCGGTCGGGCGGCCGTCAGCTGGGAGCCGGGAAGGTGTGACTGCGCCATCTTTGATCGCGTCACGAAATTTCCATTGTAATTGATATTTTGTTATCCGATTGTATGACGCGAGTTTGCCGAAGAGCGATTGTTGCGGGCGCAAGCCCATTCAATGTTTCATGACACCTAACCACTAATGTTACTATCCAGAAATTGCCTAACCAGTTTTAGCACCGATGAGATACAATCTACATGTCAGCGCCATGAAAGTTGTGCAAGCCGTGATGCAGTTGCGCAAGATGTGACCAAGGGACGACGGAGGAGGACGAAAAACACCAGGTCATGCTCGCTAGGTAGTGTTGAGGAGTGTCCGGCGGCTGTGGGAATGGGAAGCATCGGATGACCTGGAAAATCAATGTTGGCACGCTAAGCACACCTAATGGCCTGCCACAGAATGCCGTTATCCAACCAGATGTCCAATCCGACTGTCCCAAACACAGACCTCTCGCCCTCGACTGCATGCCTTCATGCCCGGTTGGTCCTCTTCCTCGTCCGGATCCTCCACGAAGTTACGCATGAAGCTCTCGCGGACCTGGGGGTAGATTTCACCGCTGTCACTCACACAGCACCGCCGGCGGAAGAGCCGGACCAAACCGGGGCCGGGGCTACAGAGGAGCCCCGCCCCGGCCAGGGGCGCCGCCGGCGGAGGAACCGGACCAACCCGGGGCCGGGGCTCTCCTCTGTATCCCAGGCCCCGGCCAGGTCAGGGGCGCCGCCAGCGGAGGAACCGGACCAACCCGGGACCCCGGCCAGGTCAGGGGCGCCGCCGGCGGAGGAACCGGACCAACCCGGGACCCCGGCCAGGTCAGGGGCGCCGCCGGCGGAGGAACCGGACCAACCCGGGACCCCGGCCAGGTCAGGGGCGCCGCCGGCAGAGGAACCCCACACAGCAGGGGCACCTGACGGTGCCCAGGCGACAACACAGGTGTTGCTCATTCGCCCCGGTCTGAAATACTCATTTTGCAGACCGACCCGAATAGAGAGTGCATGTTAATCATGCAACGTAACTCATCGACATGAGCATAAACAGCTGCTGCAGTCCGTACGCCACGCACGCCGACTGGCTGACTGCTTGATTGACTAACGGATTGATCGTCTGATGGACGACCACGCCCGTGGTTGCGTGCTGACCGCAGCCGGCGGTGGCACTCGCCGCTCGCCGCACGCACCTTCTGCAGCGTGAAGTCGGCCGGAAGCTTGTGCAGACGCGCCATCTGCGGGCGGTCCGGGAACTTCTCGAACACGCGCAGCCGCAGCGGCAGTGTCTCCTGGAGGGTGGCAGCGGAAGCGCGTGACAGGCCAGATCTCCGCGTCCTCCACAAAGCACTTTCGCACAGTGCTCTTTCTCCCACAGCGTGGCGACAGGTACACACGTACACACCCCACAGCACAGGTACACACGCCAGTTCGTCCAGCTGCATAACGAGACTCTATGCACGATAAAGGTCAATACATGAGCGATACGTTTCAGGCATGCTTATCAACACGACGGTGGGGGAGATAATACTCCACCCACCAACCGGATAACCCACCCAAGCAACCACCCACTAATTCACGCTAACGCACACCACCTATGTTCTCAGCCGTAAGCAGTCGGGGCCTGTGGGCTCTCAACTGTATACCGGCGCTCTGCTCCCGGGCGCGCAGCTGGCGCACACCACCTGTGTTCTCAGCCGTAAGCAGTCGGGGCCTGTGGGCTCTCACCTGTATACCGGCGCTCTGCTCCCGGGCGCGCAGCTGGCGCAGCTTCTTGATGTCTTCGTCCAGCTCCAGGTTGTCCAGAATTACGGCCACGAACAGGCTCAGCACGATCTGGCGACACGGGCGGACACTGACACATCCAGTAGGCCCAGCAAGACCTGGCAACACGGGCAGACGCCGACACTGCTGACAGGCCAAGCACGTTCCGGTGACACAAGTGGACCTGATACAGCTGACGGACCGAGCACGCTCCAATGGCACAAGCAGACCCGACACAGCTGACGGACCGAGCACGTTCCGGTGACACTGGCGGACCTCATACAGCTGACGGACCGGGTACGCTCCGGTGACACTGGCGGACCTGATACAGCTGACGAACCGGGTACGCTCCGGTGACACAAGTGGACCTGATACAGCTGGCGGACCGAGCACGCTCCGGTGACACTGGCGGACCTGATACGGCTGACGGACAGGGTACGCTCCGGTGACACAAGTGGACCTGATACAGCTGACGGACCGAGCACGTTCCGGTGACACAAGCGGACCTGATACAGCTGACGGACAGGGTACGCTCCGGTGACACAAGTGGACTTGATACAGCTGACGGACCGAGCACGCTCCGGCGACACTGGCGGACCTGATACAGCTGACGGACCGAGCACGCTCCGTTGACACAAGCGGATCTGATACAGCTGACGGACCGAGCACGCTCCGGTGACACAGGTAGAAGCTGGCACCGCTGACGGACCGAACGCGCTCCACGCACCGGTCCAAATATGATCTGCTGTATGACGGTGAGCTACTGCGGGGCGAGCGATTGGTAAACTGACCAGCGTGACGAACAAGTGGTAGAGTATGAAATAGATGGCCACCAGGGGGACGATGGCGGGCTGCGTGAGCGACATCGTCTCGTCCATCACGTCCACCCAGCCCTCCTGGGTCAGGATTTGGAACATGGACATGAATGCCTGCAACAAAACATCAGGAGCTCCGTTACAGATTGGACGTTTCGTGAGGCATCACTGTCTTCGCCACGAGATCGATATTTGCCCGTGTCATGTGCAGGGCAGACCACATCATCCCATCATTTCTCGTACACGACATAGTCCGATGAACCGAGCGAAAGTTTCCTCTGGTCGGGACAGATCCATGCAAATATGTGTTTGATAAAAAGATTGCATGCGTATGAGAGCCATTAAATAAGTTCCAACGAGATACGAATAAAGGATGAATGTGGGAACGCAAATGTCTGACTTGTATGCCTATTCTGTCTAGGCATGTCTATTTTGCGACGTTACTTCCCTTAACTATTTGTAGTACATGCCCCATTTTACCTTCTACCTCTAATCCCTCTAAAATATAAGGTCTCACACAGCTCTGCCAATCACCTCCCTCCTGAACCACACACGGGTATTTCATCACGATACCTCGTACTCAAGACAAGATTTCAGACACCGGAACAGGCCCGTCACTATGAACCAGGCCGCGACTACAAGAGCATTGTTTCGCTGCGACGAAAACCCGGTCATCGATGGTGGCCGGCGCCACGGAGACTCACAAACACGCGCGCTTTCCGGTAAAACAGGCGCCCTTCGACAAATCTCTAGCGTCTTTCTGCCTAGGCCCTTATTCCCTAGCTTGGTCACTCGGACTGACAACAGTCGCGGGCTTTGGCAATAAGCAACAACTATCACACCCTCTGACCCCCTCACCCCCAAACATGGTAGCAACAATGACGTTGCCGCTGACAGCTGGACACGGAAAATCTTCAGAGTTAGATTCACCCCACATGAGTTCTTACTGTAACTTCTCTGAGCTAAATTCGATTGGTCAACCGGTAAGCGAGTCGCGCCTTAACATATTTTATTTTATAATTTTGTCTTGCCTAAAACGATCAGGCAATCATTGTTACAAAATGTAGCTTTTAAAAAACGAACAAACCCCCAGCAAGTGGAATGTTGCCATATTTTGCGATTTGTCTTCGATTCGCCACTTCTGAACTGAGACATTGGCCACATGGTAGCGCCATTACCGATGCCTCCTTTCCAAAGGTCCTCTTGAAGTAGCCTTTGCCGCCTGACACCTAACATTTAGAAAATTACTTCAGTGGAAAAATAAAATATCGCAGATGGAAGCCCATCTGAATGAGGAAAGACAGCATGCTGTACCTTTCTACGCATTGCACTAAAACAAACGGTATCCCGGTAGTCCCAATCCCTTGAGGAACTTTTCCACATTGGAGATCGCTTCTGGGTTTGCTGAGATGGCGAGTGCCCTGGCCAAGCAGCGAGCGAGCCCCATTGCGGCACACTCCATGGAACGCATGACCCCTGATGAGTACCCGGGAGCACACGCGTCGCACACACTGGTCAGGCGTCAATGGGTCACCGCCACCCAGCGGCCATCTCTGGCCGACCAGCTGACTTCCGCCTGACGGCTGACTTCTTGGCAACTTTCCACTGCATTCCTTTTCGTCACCTCATGCGTTACGCTGTTTACATAGTAAAAGTCGGATATACGAACACCTCAGGTAACAGACGAAAAAAAACGAATAAGGAAAAACGAATCAAGGTTTAACGATTTAAACGAGCACGCAAAGCACGAACGCCACCTAACGTTGAAATTTGGCACTCCGTCTCAACTGATACAGAAGTGTACGTGTTAGCATGCACTGCAATCCGCCAGTCAAATCATGCCTCTGCATCCTTCGAACCTTTGTAAGCAAATCATTTAAGATGCCTACACCGAACACCTCCCTATACGAAACACATGCAACAATCATATTTTCAAATTTTGGTATTATGCTAGAATAATTATCTTAATTGTTAAAAAACAATTACTGACTATCAGCACAATTTGTTTCCCTTTTTGAGCTCACTTACATCCGGGAATGTTTCGAATTTTTGGAAGTTTAGGAAGCAGAAGAGCTGCATAGAGATGGAGGACGTGATAATAAGCAGACACATGGTGAAGATGATCAGGCTGCCCAGCTTCTTGCCCGGGCCGAAGATCTTGAACACAAAATCCTCGAGCAGGGGCGACGCCTTAATGAGACGTACAATGCGCAGCACCTGCGGACAGACCAGAAGTCGGTCGTCACCGATCATCACGTAGCCAGCGGGGCGTGCCAGCACATCAGCGCACCGGCGACTGATGGACCAGCCGTCATGTTACATGTTCTCAAGCCGGGATTGGCCAAGCTGAGCCATCGAACCGAGACATTCCCCACGGGCGCGCTGTCACCACACGCACACGCAACGTATATGCACACACACACACACACACACACGCACACGCACACGCACACGCACACGCACACGCACACGCACACGCACACGCACACGCACACGCACACGCACACGCACACGCACACGCACACGCACACGCACACGCACACGCACACATATGCACATACACACGCACACGCGTACGCACACACACGCATAAACACGCATACGCACACACGTGCACACACATACGCACACACAAACGCTGATGTTGACCTTCCTTTGGGGAGGGGGGGGGGGGTCAAGGCGCTGCTATCGCCTCCCTACACACTTCTCACCCCCGCTCGCCACCACCTCCACATGCCCTGAGGGGACTCTGCGGGTCGGAGCCGACCTGGACCCACCTGGAAGTAGGTGAACGCCGAGTTGTAGAACAGCGGCAGCAGGTGGAATGTGCTGCCCACCGCCAGCACTGTCTCAAATTTGTGGATGGAACGCTTCCAGTAGGTGGAAAAGCCCATGCACCACACCTTCACCACCACCTCCAGATCGAAGAAGATGGTGAATCCCACCTGACAGGGTAGACAGCACGGAGAACGTGTTTGATCATCGTCGTCGCAGCAGAAATACAGAATGTCAGTAAGACTTCTTGACGCGATCCGGGCGATGTGACGGCAAGCGTGGGTGCTATCATCACGTGGAATGTACGCGATCGTTATCATCAACTGGAATGTACGTGACCAAAATCTAAGTGAATGGAAGCTTTCGGAAGAACACCTATACAAATTGATATTATCGATGCACTAGCCTTTTATCAAGTTTAGCGGGTAAAACAGCACACCGGCGTACCGTCCGTGCGATAATTCACAGGCTTTTACTTCTTCTTCACGCACATTTCATATTTGACCTGACAGCACATACTACAATAAACGACACCTCTGACAGAGGCTGGACAAACGGGCATCCTAAAACATCAGAACATTAGATCAACATCAGATCAATCGTTACCGCAGAACGTACGATTCACAATTAGATTAGCACGGCTACAGTTGGCATGCCACCCGAGCACGGCTGGGGGGGGGGGGGGGAGACCCGGCACCGGCCGTCGCGCCGGCACCGTCGGCAGGGGCTCACCTCGATCGGGTAGATGTCGCGGTACAGCTCGTACACGGTGCTGCCGTCGTGGCGGAACTGTACCCTGGATGAGATGTAGGCGTTCGTGAGGATGGCGGCCATCACCACCAGGTGGTAGCCGGCCGACTGGATGACGCGCTGCAGCAGGGCTGGCGCTGAGCCGCGCGAGCCGCTGTCTTCGGCCGTGATCAGCTTCCAGGAGGTGTCCGTGCCGGTCAGCACCTGGCCAGGCCCGGGCACGGGTCATATACTGGCGCACGCGCACGTAAGCACGCACGCACGCGCATGCGCACGCATACACGTGCCAACACCGACCCGATGCACCGAGAGGGCCGTGAAATTGTGCATGCTGGATATTTGGGAAGCGTAACGATCAAACCTGCGTGCCCTTGTCATCGCAGCTTTAGTCCTAGCACTGGGCCGGCGAATGACACATATGGTCCACTACCCTTCACTACAGCTGTGGCGTGTACACCCTCAGTACACATGCCCCGACCGGTGCTGTCATTCCATGAGTCGCCCTGCCAGGACTTCGTTGGATGCGAAGCGGAAGTGTTGACGCTCCGAGACCGGACGGTGGTCTAGATCGAAACACGACCAGGTACGTGAGTGCAGCTCCAGCTCAAGATGGCAATGGCTTTCACGGTTCAAAAGATCAGGGCCCACCGCTTCAGACCCAAACAGTCAGTGGCCTTACGTAGGTGGTGTACTCTTCGGAGATTTGGCCGCGGGTGCCCCACATCTGCTGGAACTGCACGCGGATCTCGTTGAACGTCTCCATGATTACTGAAACATAGCAGGTGGTTCGACAGGCCAGCGTCTCGGCGGTGCGCCTGTGAACGAGCACAAGCACGGGCCAAGAGCACCATGTGCACAACTCCAATAGCACGAACCCAGTGTCACAGCCTTACAGCCACGCACATCAGCACACGTGACCATGTCCGCATCACAGTTAGCGGGGACTGCAATCCTCTACCACCACACGCGCCAACCGCCGAGACCGAGGCGGACAGCGGGACTCACCGGCGATGAAGACGTTCTTGACCAGCCAAGCGAGGAAGAAGATCATGGTGGTGAAGTAGACGAGTCCGCGCCAGCCGGGTAGCGAGTCGACGGCGCGGTACATGACGTACACCCAGCCCTCTTGCGACGAGGCCTCGTACACCGTGAAGATGCTCGTGGCTGTCGGCAACATGTGGCTGTGACGAGGAGACAGCCAAGGAGCGCAGGGGTACATACAGGTCTCCCTCGTGATCTGAGAGACAAGGACGACTGGCGTATCTTAGGTTATCTCACTTAAGTCACGTCACAAGTCAAGGCAGATTACACATTTCAGTCCCTTGGCATGAGCCTTCATTTTCTACCAAACTCATCACACTTACCATCTGTCGAAGGCGAACCGAACACGCCACCACAGCACTCACCGAACTCATCGAAGCCGTTGAAGCCGACGACGTACGAGCTGGAGTGGAGTGTGACGCACTTCATGGCGGTGGGGCACTGGTAGCCGGAGCCGGGGCTGAGGCTGCAGTAGGTGTCGGGGACGGCCAGGTCGTTGAGCTTGACATCGCTGGAAGGCGGCAGGCGCATATACGGCATGGAGTCATTATGGACGAGAGCGTGGGTTTCGTATTTCAAGGAATACCCCATTTGAAGCAATTTGCGAACATGCATTTGCCACTACTTGCATACGTTTCACCTGGAATGTTGATAAGTAAGCTTGGACACAAATCTGATAGGTTCGTTAGGGCACGAATTAATGCGCATGTTTTGGAAGACTACAAAAACACGATGTTGGTGATTTAATGCCACCAATCTTCCGAACCAATTTGCCATTTTTTAGTGACTGTTACGACGAAACAAAAACGACGCTGAAAGGTAACCTAATATGGTTAAGACAGTATTAACAGCCTTATTACTCGTAGAATAAACAGGAGAATATCTCTTCATTCTCCTGCTCATCCTAAGAGGAATCAATCATTAACTAATGCTTCCTTATTTGAATGCATTGTTTCTCGCAAATGCGCTACTGAGCAACTTACGTCAAGTGATATGGTTGTGTAATGCGCCATTGTGATATTTTATGAAAAATCACATTGACTTCAAATGAGCTCCCTTTGTCGTTTTTCCTCTTGCTAATACGATTATTTGCTTTATGCATGTGCAGGTACCATTGTACCCTGGCTTGTACCAATGAGTGTGTGAATTCACAACGGAATTGTTTGAGTGATGGCTGCGCAACGCCTCACAGTCAACGTGTGGGAAATAATGACTCTTTGAATATGGCTGTGGGGACCACTGGGTTTCCCCTGATTCCTCCCATGACATTAAATGCCTTTTGTTTTTCTTAATGCATTTTTGTTTTTGGCCGGTCGCATGTCACATCGTCGAACACATAAACACTGTTCGGTATTGGAAGATTTCTTAGAATGGTTGAAAATATCCTTAAATCAGATTTTATTCCAGTTCATGCTACAACGGTGGAAAACTAGTCCACCCACTTCGTTCACTATTGATTTTGAACCAGGAGCATGTTAACTGATTAGATTCCAGCTTGAACCACCCAAAGTTGGCATGATTCTGAGCCAGTCTCGAATCAAATGGGCCGTCTGGATTGCTCGCCAAAGTCTGGTTTTACCAAAAGCAGCCTAGGCTCGTTCGCTAAAGCAGGGCCGGAATTGAGCTCCGCTGAGTGCTGCGCGCCATGCACGCCGACCGATGGCCAGCAAACCGGACCGAGCTGACCGCCAGACGTCAGCGCCACAGCTGACGGTCCGCGCCACAGCTGACCGCCAGACGTCAGCGAGGTCCGCACCACAGCTGACCGCCAGACGCCAGCGAGGTCCGCACCACAGCTGACCGCCAGACGTCAGCGAGGTCCGCGCCACAGCTGACCGCCAGACGTCAGCGAGGTCCGCACCACAGCTGACCGCCAGACGCCAGCGAGGTCCGCACCACAGCTGACCGCCAGACGTCAGCGAGGTCCGCGCCACAGCTGACCGCCAGACGTCAGCGAGGTCCGCGCCACAGCTGACCGCCAGACGCCAGCGAGGTCCGCACCACAGCTGACCGCCAGACGCCAGCGAGGTCCGCACCACAGCTGACCGCCAGACGTCAGCGAGGTCCGCGCCACAGCTGACCGCCAGACGTCAGCGAGGTCCGTGCCACAGCTGACCGCCAGACGCCAGCGAGGTCCGCGCCACAGCTGACCGCCAGACGCCGGTGAGGTCCGCACCACAGCTGACCGCCAGACGCCAGCGAGGTCCGCGCCACAGCTGACCGCCAGACGCCGGTGAGGTCCGCGCCACAGCTGACCGCCAGACGTCAGCGAGGTCCGCGCCACAGCTGACCGCCAGACGTCAGCGAGGTCCGCGCCACAGCTGACCGCCAGACGTCAGCGAGGTCCGTGCCACAGCTGACCGCCAGACGCCAGCGAGGTCCGCGCCACAGCTGACCGCCAGACGCCGGTGAGGTCCGCACCACAGCTGACCGCCAGACGCCAGCGAGGTCCGTGCCACAGCTGACCGCCAGACGTCAGCGAGGTCCGCGCCACAGCTGACCGCCAGACGTCAGCGAGGTCCGCGCCACAGCTGACCGCCAGACGTCAGCGAGGTCCGCGCCACAGCTGACCGCCAGACGTCAGCGAGGTCCGCACCACAGCTGACCGCCAGACGCCAGCGGGGTCCGCACCATACGTTAGCGAAGTCGCATCTCCGTGACGACTGTGAGACAAGCCACTGCAGGCAGCCTCCCGTGCAGCGACGGTGCGCCGGTGCTTGACTGGCCCGGTGCGAGGGTGCTTGGCTAGCCCGGTGCGCTGGTGCTTGGCTAGCCCGGTGCGCGGGAGCTTGGCTAGCCCGATGCACGGGAGCTTGGCTAGCCCGGTGCGCGGGAGCTTGGCTAGCCCGGTGCGCGGGAGCTTGGCTAGCCCTGCTTGGCTAGTCCGGTGCGCTAGTGCTTGGCTAGCCTGGTGCGCTGGTGCTTGGCTAGCCCGGTGTGCCAGTGCTAGATTAGCCCGGTGCGCGGGAGCTTGGCTAGCCCGATGCGCGGGGGCCTGTCTAGCCCAGTGCGGAGGTGCTTGACAGGCTGTACGTCATGACCACGGACCTCCGAGTGAATCGGGTGCGTCAGTGACCGCGACCACGCGACAATCACAAACTAGACGGGCGCACAGCACATCACTGACACCGGCCAGCATGTTGTTCGACAAACCACCCCACGCGCCCCGCTTACTTCGGATCTGTGGAGTTCTTGACGCAGTGGTTGTTCATACGACCGAAGAACTGCACGCCGAGCAGCGCGTACAGACACATGAAGAACAGGAAGAAGAGGGTGACGTTGTAGATCTGCTGCGAGGAGCGCCTGCCGGCCACCCACCGGCGGCGAGTTACGAGACGCGGCGAGCCAGCGACCACGCAGCACGGCAGGCAGCGCAGACCGCGCGACACAACACGGCCGCGTACCACGGGAGAGCTTGTCCATGCCAAGCCCCAGTCGATCCCAGCACCCGCGTATCGGTACACCCGGTCCTTTGATTCACGAAATGACACATCACCATTGGTTGTTCGCCGACGTCCACTTACAACAAAATCTGGTTGATTCTGCTCTTTGGCATGCTGAACTTGAGGAAGACGCGTATAAACCGGACCATGATGAGAGGCCGGGGAGCCCGGAGGACCGATAAGAACGAGTGCACATGCACCATACTCATCAGTTCGAACACCTGGAAATATATACATGTTAGCCTTGGATTACGTTCGATGGAGTGCAACCGAGTTACATGATGCTAGTGACGTAACGAAGATTCTGTACCGTCCAATTCCTCTTGGTTATTCGCCGAGAGCCGCACGACAAAGATTCTGCGCCGCATCCAGAAAAATCTGTGTAGGACGCGCGTAATCTTTTCGATGTGCTTGATCGTGCGATCGCAGCGTACTCTCGGTGAGTGAACCCAATCAGCGGATGACTGATTCAATTCAGCACACATCGGCGTTCCGACTTGGCGCCACCCAAACGTGTGCATATGCCCCATGTCATCCAATGTGCCCTGGTGATATTGAATACAAGCTGTTCCACTCACTCACTATAATTTAAAGTTCTGAAGCACTGATGGCTGTCATATCATACCTGCAGGATCACTGACACCCAGAGGAAGAAGACCATGCTTGCATCAAACTGGCACCAGTGGTCCTTAAGGTACGGGCTCTCACCCTGAAGACAGTTCATAGATACCGTTACGAACGCGACCTACAATTCCCGATCACAGCGAAATGAAGCCATGCATATATGACATAACTCTAACGGTGGTTTTGAACGGATTACCTAAGGTACGTTATCCTATTCGTCAAAGCAGCTTCGGAGGGCAAAAGTTTCGCAGCATTTCCTAGATCACATAAGTCTTGACAAAACTTCACAAGGCAGGATACGTCGGAGTCGGACACCTCAGCGTCGGTGGTTCTGATATGACGATGAAGAAAATCCATTGCAAAGTCAGCAGGACCATGCAAGTGAGCAGACATCGCTGTCTGCGTCTGCTCACACTTGGATTCATGGACGCAAGGCAGATATTAGCATCAAGCTCCTGCACCTTGGCATGTACCTACACCTATGGTGTTTGGGTTCCGAACCATAAGGAGACGCTTTCGTCGTTTCTTGGCACGCCGAAAAATATTTTAGGCCAGAAAACGTCATAAACGGGAGAACGCACAATGAAAACGTACGAAGGCATTCTCAGAAGGAATGCGGCGGAGACAGCTGTGACGTGTAAATATGCATATACCTGTCATGGTAACCTCTAAACAGAAGACAGTGACGGGCCATAATAAAGCAACTGAAGGGATTCTCATAAACGCTGCGAAGCGAAGCTCTACGGATTTTCCTCCCAACGACCCTGGAAATCCCTTGCGGCTTCTAACGCATGCCTACACTTCCCAGTAGACAAGATATTGGGAAGAAAAAATAACAAAACTTTGGGATCCAGTTCCAACATGGAGCCTTTCAATTCTGTAAGACCTTGCCTCCACCCTCTGTTTGCCTCCTCCCAGTCGATATGAATTCAAGGCTTCCAAAAAATACTGATAGGTACTAAGAAAAAGCAGATCACACTCCTATGGTGCAACCAACAACATAGGTACAACCAGAAGTACCGTGCTTCTGGTTGTATCAAGGCCGCCGTAAAATGCATGTGGGTGTAAGAGGAGATTTGCTCGTTGACATAGAAGCTCGCTCTGCTTTCTTAGCACCTACTGGCGTCTTTTGGACGACTGCATCGCATGCTGGGTAACCCAGCAGAGCACACGCTGTTCAACGTAGAAAGGAGGACAAGTCCTCCATTGTCGCGCTCGCACAGTACCGCCGCGCGGCCCGTGACGGCTGGCAGCGGCCACGCGGCCCCTGAGCCCTGCCGCGGTGGCGCCGGCGCCGCTTACACCGAGCAGGCCGCGGATGTGCATCTTGGCCACCATCTCGGCAGTAAACATGAAGGTGACGAAGGCGTCCACGATGAAGGTGATGAGCCGCAACGCCTGCCACTCGTCGAACGTCTTGCGCGTGTTCAGGCTGACTGAGACGAGACTGAGCAGCGCGCACAGCCGCAGCAGGTGGCGCACCCATACCTGCAGCAGCCGTGACACCAGACGTCGGCAGGGCGGGTACAGCCGACTCGACAGAGGTCACGTTGCAAAGGGCAAATGAAAGGGGTAATGGGTGCCCCCTGTCCCCCTCCCCCCCCCCCCACCCTACATGTTATATGAATGGTATTGCGATAATCCGATGTGTTGGGCCTGGGTTTAATTACCACAGTAAAATGTCTAAATGCAACACGCAAACGCACCGTTCGACTTCAGGCTCCTCAGTCGACAAGTGATACAGCCATGATAATTGTTCATTATGGTGACAGTGATTTAACTTGATCCAAAGCCACATAGATAACATCAAAACTCAAGTCAGTCATGCCATGAAGCTAGTGCAGCAGTTTTATTATGTGAAATACAGGCTGACTCAGAAGTAATTAATAAGCTTATCAGCTATCTGATCACAACCAAAAGAACCAAAGCAGTACAACTAATTTACAATAGACCTAAGATTGCACCAACTGCTGTAAGATAAGCTGAAAAAATGATGATACTTGGAATAATAATGAACAAAATCACCAGCAGACGAAAATGCTTTCTTGTGGTGATGATTTCCAAAGGTTTTCTCAATTAAGCTAATTCTATTTCAAACTTTGCCTGAACATGAAACCAATTGTATTTAAAGAACTGTACCTTGTTCACCCAATCAATGTCTGCATTCTCATTCAGTGACTCATCTGGACCATAGTCAGGACAGAATGGGTTCACTCCGCAAGCTTGGCTTTCTGCCCAGCATCTTGGATTTCATGTGCTTCTACATTGCAATGGCTGACACTTGAAGATCCATGCTTGTTCTTCACTGCTGATCTATTTTAGCATGATCAGTGATCTGCTCCCTGCAAAGATAAGTAAGAGATGAAACATCAACTTATTTAAAGGCTGGCAAGAACATAACCAGCCCTTTCCAACCCTAAACTTGCCGAACACTGCATTTGCCTCCAGGCTGTGCAGCAATGTTTTCCAATCATCTGTCCTTATCTTTTAAACCTCATCAACCTCTCTCTTGGGAACAAAATGTTCCCAGATGGCTGGAATATGACATAGGTTATACCAATTCCAAAGTCAGGTGATCCGGCTGTACCGTCCAACAATAGGACCAGCCCTCTGCTCGGTGTGCTCCCTAAGATCTCAGAATAGATAGCCTAAACACAGCTAACGGAATATTTGAACGCAACAGGGCTGCTACATCCATCCCACTATGCCTATAGACCACCCAACTCAACCGAGGATGCCGTGTCCACCGCAGTCGAGCGCCCAGTCACCAACCCCACAGACGAACTTGTATCGTCGTAATGACAACCGATCTGTCAAAGGCACTCATGGCGTCCTCTCCCCATGTCATGTGGTGTGCCCCAGAGCTTGATTGTCAGTCTTGTTCTGTTCATTTTGTTTACTAACAATCTATATACATACTTGACTCCTGGCCGCCTCATCTCCCACGCTGACAACACCACGGATGTGGACTGTACACCCCTGGCGGACCGGGTCTCGCCTACGTCACAACCAGACTGGAACTTACCATGTGCGCTTCAGTACTGGTTTACTCCCAATTCTCTCACATCATGAAACAAACTGTTTCTATGCCTATAGGGTCAAGGCAAAATCTTAAAAGGTCAGCTGACCTCTGCTTTGAAGTAAATGGTTCAACTGCACATGCCTTAAGTAGCACAAAATTATTGACATAATGGTTGACTCCTGACTGCCATGGAGTGACCTTGTCTTGGGTGTCATTACAAAATGTGATGACATCCTCATTTCTTTGTACCAATTCTGTCATTTCCTCATTTCAGATCTTCACAAAATCATCATTCTGGCATGCATATTCCCTCATATCACATACTGCTTTTAAGTGTCAGGTGCAGTGGCCAAAAGTCCGGAATGCAAATTTTAAAAAAATTCAATTTCCCTGCAGAAGTAATTTCTGGCCCCAAAAAGTGCCATCATATAACTCCAGCCCTAAATTCCCTAGGATGACCAATAATCAAAGCCATGTTCACACAACATGACATGATTTCAGTGTTAAGGGCACTGAGGGAAGTGGGTGCAAACTGCCTCGCAGTCCGCATGCTGCTGTTTCCACCTGTGAAATGTGTGCCTCCACTGAGGTGGCCTGCACCTGCACAGACATGGATTGATGCCACACAGAAGGGCATTTTTGCATCTGGCCACATTTACCAAGAATTGCCTGCCATCATACACCTCTGATGCCACAACACTGAGCAAGTTTAAGACCTTCATGCAGTGATGTGATTTTGACCAGACCACCAACCACTAATCTCATCTGACTGATGGTGCATAAATATATCTGTTTCAACTCTTTGACCATTACTCATATAATTATACTTACACTTTCATGCACACCTTCCTAGACCACACCTGTACTGCAATTTGAAATATGACCATGATCTGAAACTACTACCATGTGGATGATTTCTGATAAACTTGTTATCATTGTACCTTCTCCATGGACTTTGTCTATATTCATGATACAAAAAGCCTTCTACTTGAAGGTTTCAAAGAAGACCAAACATCAACATTGGTCACAAAAAAACTCCAACAGCTAAGCTGAGAACTTCTTCTCTTTACAAATGATTACAAGGCATATTTTTAGCTGCCAGCATGTCCATTCTAGTAACCTCTTGCCTCCAGATTAAACTAAATGTGCTAGAGTCGGCTTTTATTGCTTAAGTACTCACTATTTGTACCTAGCTGGGGTAGTCAGCAGCAGAGCTGTAAGTCAAGTTTAGTGCAAGATATTACAGGACAGGATAGATAAAGCTAGGCAAAGTATGACCTTAATCTAGTTCAACAGGATTCTGCTGCACTGTCACCCTGAATTTTCCTGTCTGTTTGGTGTGCTTAAGATGAGACAAGCACCAAGTACAGGCCAAAGAAATATGTTCAGTCAAAAGGCACTGAAGAAATCTTCTAAAAAAAAATGAACAGATGAGCTTCATCAAAGGCACTATGCATTGAAAACCAGACCTTTGGAATGTTACCATCTATATAGCCAGAAAATCAACCAGGAACACTTAATATGGGATGTGTTCAGCCAGCAACTATCTGATAAATATTCAGAATGTTGGAGACTTCTCTGGAGTGGCATTTGGCGCTACCAACACAGAGAACAGTCACCTACAAGCATCTGCGTCCAGAGAAAATGTCATAATTTTCAGACCACGATCAAGACGGCTTTCTCGCCCAGGTCGGCTATGGTCGTTGGCTATGAAGAACGCATTAGAGACGAAACTGGGTCATAATTTCCGCGTCACATTCTGCACCTACCGAACGTAAATGAATCATTCTCCTGGCTGAGCATTGAAAGAAAAGCTAAATGATGAATAACTTTCCCTAGGCCGAACGTGCCTATTTCGGTGCGGAACGATGTGATGAGAATGAAGGGTATCACGGCACAGTAAGCCTCAATGCCTAAATGTAAACGATAACGTACAAGTTACCAGTAGATACACCGGACATTTATGAATGCCTCAATACCCTTCATTAGCTCTGTGCCATATAAGCACCATTAATAGCGTTCCGTCCCGTACCTGCCAAACGCCCACCACCCTCATCAACCTTCACTACCCAATTGTTGTGTATAAATACGCGACGCGGCGCCAAAAGTGTGGCTGTCAGCTGATTATGTGAAGATACCGAAGATCGCTAATACAGCTGATTGTTTAGTGACGTTACAAAACCATTGCCGACCTGGCGAGAGACTTGGGACCGGGACCATCCGGAACCGGAACTAGCAGGGCTGGCAGGAGGAGGCAAAGGGGGCGCGATCTCTCTGTGGTTTCGTGGAGCTCGAATGGCCCAAGACTAAAGATTAAGGGCCCGATTGGAGGGTTGAATGGCCCGAAGGGCTTGGGTGTTAGGGTGTTGCTCACATTAAGGACCCCACCCCAAGAACCGTGATCTCAAAAGTTCTTTAGATGGCTTCTTGCACAGACTGGGGACCCGTAGGACAGAGCGTTCCTCTATTTCGACCAGAGATCACCAACACCAAACAGTAAGCTCCGTGTCAGTCTGAGCTCCGGGGGGTCATTTCCAAAGCAGGGACAAGGCCGGGCGTGTGGTTTAAATTGGTGGGGGCCCCGGCACGAATGCGGAGCTCCTGTATCGTTCAGGGGCCCACAACGTTTTACAGGGAATTCTGTATGGACTAAGGCGCCTCGATCCGGTCAGGAAAAATTTGATCAACAGAGACGAGCATGAGACACCGAATGCCAGAGGGCCTCTTGCGTTGGTCGGGCCCTCCGACAATGAAAGGAAACAGAAGTTATTATGAGTGTTCACAATGAGGCCATAGAGGTGCTCTGCACCACTCAGCGCCCCAGTATCGAACGATGGGCCCTACAGCCCAAATCCAGCATGAGCCCGTGAAGCCGAACTAGAGTATATGTACCAATTACTGGACCACCTGCGGCGATCATGGATGTTGTCGCGTCGATGGGGGTTCCTGCGTGGATCCGGGGTCGACTGCGTGCGTCAGACGGTCCTCCCGTAGAAAGGAGGGCGATGTGATGTGATATATCCCTCTCAGGGCCTCCGGATCGGCCAGGGGATCATATCCCGTGTTGTCAGAATGGCGGCCGGAAGACGCCACACGGTGAGACGGAATGGTTCTTCAGTTCCTTGGCCGGAATCAATAATGTGCCCCTAGTCTTCTACTCAAGGGGCCCCCTTTCCTGGAAAGAAGTAAGGTGTCCCATTAGTGTTGAATAGAGTATGTCGGATTGAGTGTATAAACGGGCAATGCGATCCCATATTTGCCAGAAAACTTTCATTCTTTTCAGACTATTGAGTAGTGAAATAAATTACTTTAAAAGGTTTGAGCCGTTGTGTATGCGATGATGAAAAGAATTCTCAGTCGGACTGCCTCACACGCAGCGGTGACCTGCCGCACACGACGCTGACAGTGAGAGACCCACCCCACGCGCCCGAGCAGCACTTCTTGTACTCGTTCCAAGGCTCATACCCGCAACACGATCTGCGAGCGAATGACCGGCGCCACCGTGACGCACCACCCCGAGCCGTGATTGTTCCCCTCACTCAGACATGAGTCATCGCCCCACTCGTCTCACATGCTGACACACGGTCCCGGAGTATGGTCCATCGCTATATTATACGCCCGCAATTTCAGGAGCAGACACAACGATGTCTTGGGTATAGTTTCCATAAAACCGGCCGGCGTTGGTTACTGCAAGTAACACCAGGCAGCGGGTGCAGTGCGCGAGAGGGTAATCGTAACATAATGATCTCAAAAATGCCTTTTGAAATGAATTCGTGCCGTTTAAATACTAAACTGGGTATGTCCTTTGTATAACTCTGAGGTTGTCAACTAGACAGATTACCAGTTAGAGCAGCACAAAAATCGAGATTTCACATTACTCTTCCAATTCTGCCACCAGATTCCAGCACCACTTCGCGGCGCTGTAAAGGTCATTCCGCTCTTATCAATCTACAAACCACACAGGTGCACATACAGACATAGGCCGCGACTTCGTTCTACATGTACGATTTTATGTTCTAAAGTGTTCAAAGGTACTTCTTTCAGACGTTTCATCATTGTCTTCCACTCGGCCTCGGCTTGGCGTTAGCCGCGGGGCCGACAATGCGGCCCTGCAGACACTGCAATGTCTGGCGCCGAGGTTTTTAGCGCTAAAATGTGCTAGCACGCATGCTCAAAACTATGTTACGTAATTTGCATCACTAATCGATTCTGACTGGATGTTGAACATTTCCGAATAAACATGGCTTGGTAATGGTTATGTAGGGGGTCTGCATTGCATCTTTGTCACTTATTCAAACGCAAAACTCAGAGCAGTCTTGCATGAATTTGGTCAACATAACCTTCAAGAGATCAACCAAGGTCACTGAAATTAAATGAGCATGTGAAATTTTGCTTAGAAACAGTTATCCAGGTTCCGGGGGCATTCGGAGACCCACCTAAAATTTGACTTGTTTAACCTTACTTGACCCGAAGGTCATGACCTAGGAACTTCAAGCTTTGACCTGAGTGAGTTCACGTACAGGTCAACACACCCTGTAAATTTGGTGTTTCTAGCTTTCTTAGTTACCGAGATCTCAGGGAATTCAAACTGACCCCTTCCCCTCCCCCCCCACCCCCACCCGAGCAAAGGGTATCCAGCTGGCCACCCGGGCGCGTGTTAATGCATCGCGACCCACGTCTTGTAGCCGATATCAGCCAGGGTTACATTAACACAAATTGTTTACCGATATCTATCCATCATCCACATTCAAGGGGTCCTTCATATCTTTGTACGGCTCAGATAAAAATTATGACAAAGCTTCTGAGTTCTATTGGTTTAGAACTATAGTTCACTACACCATTGTAAAATGAAGAGCGCCGGTGATTCATTTCATACAGCAGTTTAAAAAGCATGACTCCTGCCAGTTTATGACCTATGAAGCTCAGGCAGAATTGATTTCGCGGTAGCTTCTGGCTGATATTCCAGTTATGCAAGGTGAAAATGAAAAATGAAAGAAAAACATGCTTTCATTAACAAATGGGCAACATCCGGCGAGTATTTGGGGTGGGCCGTTTTACTATCGGGGAAGCATTTTTCAATCCTGTGCCCCTCCCCCCTTGCGAAGGTCCTGGTTGCGCAGCTGAACGGGACCATACGGGACCGGATCCAAATAAGTGGGATGATAGGACCAGAATATGGGCCGGACGGGACCGAACGGGACCAAACGGGATCAAACCGCATCAGACGAAACGGGATAGAACAGATTTTTACCAAATCTGATCGAGACGGGTTCGGACGGATGCGGAAAGAATATAACCGAACTGGACAGAATCGGACAGCGCCAATCGTGCTCGAAAGGAACCGGACGGGGCGGAACAGGACCATACGGCACCGGGCGGAACCGGACCAGAGCGGACGGAACCGGCTGAAACATGATTCAAGACACGGGACCGGGTAATACTAAAACAAACCAGGCAGGATCGGGCAGGACCGGATGGAACCATATGGCATCTCAGAGGACCAGATGGGACCGGACGAGGCCGGGCGGAACCGGTCAGGTCCAGACGGAAGCAAATGGCATCGGACGGAGGTGGCCGTTGCCTGACGGAAGCGGACGAAACAGCACTGAACCGGACGGAGCGGACAGTACCGGAATTCCGGTCCCGTACGAGAGGTTCTTCCCGGGCGGAATATTGACCTGACGGAACCGAACAGGACTAGACGGAACCGCACAAGGTCATACTGAATCTGACGATTTCGTGCGTAACCGGATGGAGCCGCGCGCTACAGAACGAGACCAGACGAAACGCAATGGAACGTAAAAGATCAGACTGAAACTGGTGGACCAGGTGGGACAAGACGGGACTGGACGGTAGCGGATAACACTAGACAGTACGTAGAAGTATAAATTTGGATCTGACGAAACCCGTGATTGGTCCGTCCCCTGGACGTGGTCCGATAGGACCAGAAAGGACATGACATGATGGGACCGGATTGGACGACAAGAAACGCAACACAATGGAATTGCACTGTACAGAGCGAGCTCAGGACGGGCCAGCCAGGACCAGACCGTGCCCGTCTGGTTCCGTTGCATGGTTCGATCCGGCCTCGTCTGGTTCCCTCCGGTCCTGTCCATCATCGTCTGGTTCCGCCTGGTTCTGTCTAGTATGGTTTGGTCCCACTCAGTTCCGGCCAGTCCTTGCCAGTCCTGTCCAGGCCCTTCTAGTTTCGTCCAGTCACGTACAGTTTTACCCAGCTCCGTCCGGTTCCGTCCGTTCGGTTCCAGTGTCATCCGTTCCATCCGGTCCGTCTGGTTTATCCGGTCCCATCTGGTCTCATTGCGTTCCAGCTAATTCCATCTGAACGCAATTGGCTTGGTTCGGCTCTGTCCAATGCCGACCTATTTCATTTGGTACCGTCTAGTTCCGTTTGGTTCCGTGCAGGGCCGCCCGGTCCCGTACGGTCCTGTGCGGAAGTATGAATAGGTTAGAAGTTATTATGTGTTTTTGTGACGTCACCGTACAATCAGCTGAAAGTATTTGTGACCTTCACTTCGCAGTCAGCTATTACCCGCACCACATATTTATGCGTGGGATGGGCGAACTAGGTGTGTGTCGGGTGTGAAAGAAAATGTGATTAATTGCGATTGTATGGCACTTAGAGTTAAATGAAGAAGATTGCCTTCATTTCAGAGGTCCAAACTGCCTGAGTTGAACAATGTTTGCTTAACTTGGTGATGTGGAAAAGTCAAATTGATATGCAATCATGATAGTCATTGACTGATTTCTTTTTATTGAAAATGCAGGACCCTCAAATTCATGAGAACTTTTAGAGCTAGATACCAGGAATTTGAATGGACACAATTTAACACTGAATGGATGACCAGCCAAAAATAGCAAGTGCCATTTAAATCACTGAAATCTTACCACTGTTTTTTTTTTATTCTCTTCCTCAGAAAATTGTAAGCCAGCTAATCAGATGTCTTCAGAGAGTGAGGTGGACGATTTCTTTGATGCTGTTGATGAATCTCCAGGAAAGAAATCACAGTAAGTCATCTTAATAGTTAAGACCCTGTGTGCCATGGAAACTATTAGTCATTTTTTGCTTAATGTGCTATAAAGTTTTGTAAGATACGAATCTTGTTTACACAATTATTGCATGCCATTTCTATTTTTTGTGGCGATTCATGCTACTCAAGAAATAAGTGGTCTTTAGCTTACCAGGGATAATACTCTCTTCACAGAAGTGGAGGGTCTGGCAAACCCTCAATTGCAGCTCAGTTATCATCAGACTCATTGGATGATACATCAGAGTCAGCACCAGCATCAAAGTCAACAGATGCTGTGGTGAGTTTCTTCATGGGAGGTTAAGTTGATTATGTGCTGCTTAAGCTGATCCTGTGCTGGCTAGGTGCATGAAGCTGAATTGCAGAATGAAAACAAGCTGGTATAGCTTATTTAGCTGTGACTGACCCCAGTTATGAGAGTGTTTTCGTCAACCTTGCTGTATTGTAATGTAATGGCCGTGCATCCTATAATGTTAAACAGATCTGGGTGATCCCTGAGATCTCATTCAGTTATTATTATATGTTGTTTCATGAAGTTATCAATGTGTGTTTGTATACTTTATGACTAAGAATAATTGTGTATGCGATTTCAGAAAAGCCCAGAGGATTCAGACTTCTGGCCTGATTAGTGGTTTTTGTGGGGTGTGGCTCAAGTATAGTGCTGCACTGAGCTGTAAGTGTCTTTACATAGTCATGTGTGCCAGTACCTGTGTTCATTCATTTGCAGCACCATGGGCTGGTGGTTTTTGTGCACCCTATGCTGGTGTATGCAGAGGCCAGTGCTAACCAGGTCCACCTGGTGCTGGTAGGCGGACGTCACGGCGGCCGACGCGGCCGCCGAGCTTGAGGCCCGACGTAGAAAGCTGCGCCGACTGCGCCACTGCGTCACCGGCGATGACGAAGCCGCTGAGCCTCCGTCACCGCACGACTCCCAGACGGGCTCCGTGGACGGTCAGTGTACCAGCTGTCAGATGAGCACTGATAGTCAGCCTACTTCCTTTTTGATGTTGGTGATGTTTGTTGCTGATGTAGGCAATGCTATTTGCTAATATGTAATTTAGCCATATCAGAACAGTTGGGCTCGTCCTACTCCATGCTGCCTGGCGGCGGACAACTGATAAAGTGTGTCAGCCTCAGCGGAGGGCACTGACCTGCCTTCACGGCCGACAGGCGTGCTGGTGACCCGCGGCAGCCACCCGTTCCGCAAGGTGGAGCAGGACGCCCAGTCGATGGTCAGTCAGATGTCGCTGGGGAAGGTAGGGCGCATCCTGGCCGGGCTGGACGACCTGGACGGGCCACCGGGCGCCCGTGCCGCGCCTGGCCACGCGCCCGCCGAAGCCACCGTCTCGGCTACCGCCAGCAGCGCCCCGCCCCTAGCTGCCGTCGACATGCCGCCCCCGCCGCCCCCGCCACCGCTGCCCCCGCCGCCGCCACCACCGGCGGCCGCCCCGCCGCCGCCACCGCCTCAGCCGCAGCCCGCAAGTAGTCCGTCACCGTCTCCACCGCCGCCAGCGTCCGGCCCGTCGCCGCCTGCGCCGCCGGCTGCCAGCGCCTGCCCGCCCCCGCCGGCTTCGGCCGAGGCGGAGGCGCCGGCCGCTGCGCCGACGGCTCCGCGTCTCCAGGAGCCGGATATTGTATCCAGCGTGAAGCTGGCGAGCGGGCGGCCAGCCTCGCCGCCACCGCCGCCGCCGCCGCCGCCGCCGCCGCCGCCGGTGGCGCCGCCGCGCCGCCGCAAGAGGCGGCCGCCGGAGCCGGAGCCGGCCGGTGCGCGCGACTCGGTCGACTCGGTGAGCTCGGCCGAGGCACCGGCGCCCGGCCGGACCAGCCCGGCGCCCGGGCGGCGGCGAGGCCTGACGCCTGACGGGGCGCACGAGCGGCGCCGCGGCCTGACCGAGCGGCGCGCCCAGTTCACGCCTGTCAGCGACCAAGAGTACTCGCTCGACATCCGCTCGGCTACCAAGGGCCAGTACGTGGTGAAGCCCCAGGTCAGTGACTGGTCGCCGCACGGCACCCCCTCCCCGGACGCTGGGGTTAGCCCGCTGGCGTCGCTATCCTGCCGATGGAACGCTGGCTGTTTAGGCGCTCTGACTGTTACCATGTCACGCGAGCGCGTTCTGTTTTAGCTTCACGGAGTATTGTTGACAGCTAATGTCCCCTGTTCACGTGCCATCGCCGTTGGTGTGCGGGATCTGTGGCGAACGCCGTCGCCCTCCGGCCTCCCTCTCACGCGCCGCCGCGGCCACGTCGGCCTGATCGCAGGACGAGGCGAGCACGCGCGCGCCGGTCGTGCTCGTGATGGACCGGCTGGACGTGATCTCGGTGCAGTCGGACGCATCGAGCATCGCCGACAGCGTGACGTCGCCCTACCCGCGCGACAACATGCAGCGGCTGGACGAGGTGAGGCCTGGCTGCGCTGCCGCCGGGGCGTGGGTGCCGTCGTGTGGACAGGCTGCGCTGCCGCGAGGCGTGGGTTCGGTCGTGTGGACAGGCTGCGCTGCCGCCGGACCTTGGAGACGGCGTGGAACGTAGTCCGCAACACTCGACGTGAGCTGGGGACGTAATGCGGGCTGGGTTGTACTTACGGTTCGCTGCAGATGGGTAAGACGAGGGCAAAACGTAGCCGGCAATGTTTGTCGTGACGCGACCACTCCCTTGTGTGCATGAAAGACACGTCTTCGGTTACGTGTGTTGCGTGTGAGTGGCACATGTTGCCAGGCCCGCCGACTAATGTACTTTTCGTTGGCTCTGTCAGTTGTGTTGATGTTACTGCGCGCTACAGGTCAAAGAAGCACAGGAGTTTTTGCGATCGCACGAAATACAGACCAACATATTCGTGAAGACGAAGACGGACTCTGGTCGGCCGCTCACTGATAAGGTACGACCAAGTGCATCACGTACTGTGGATGAGATTGCGTCCTGTGGTTCAACACATCATACATGATGATTCACTTTTCTCTCATTCACCCACATTCCTCGTTCTGCGCGAGAGCTCGCGTTGCTGACAGAGACGGGGGGATTAGGATGACTGGGACGCTTGAAGAGGAGCGCACCTCCCACCTCATGTCGGCGCGCGGTGTCGCTGCTGCGCGCCGACGGCCACTGACGTCACCCGTCCCGTCGCCGGCAGGAGATCCTGGACCAGGTGTCGGTGCTGAACCTGGACACGGGCGAGCGCATCCCGCTCTCCGTGGCTGAGGAGAAGCTGCCGGCCTGCATCAACCCGCTGTCGCTGCAGATCATGCGCATGACGTCCGAGTACATCAGGTGTGAAGCGGCGACACGGCCGCGCCGGCCCGCCGCCCGCCGCCCGCCGCCCGCCGCCCGCCGCCCGCCGGGGCACGGTCCTCTATGGGGGCAGCCACATCGCAGCATGAATGGCGCTTCGAACGCTGCTTGGTGACCTGAAAATTCATCCAACCCCAGAAATCCATTCCATCAAAAGGCTCGGACCAATGTTGAAAGGACGCTATCGGCATGTTTTCACCATGCTTAGTTTCGAAGGCGGGCAAACGAGTTTTCACAATCTTTCCGTTACTGGGCGAAGGACGGCCAGTGATGTCCCTCGTGTTGCGCCACGTAGCGCCATCCTCCTCCCGACGGCCACGTCTGCCCGCGTCGTGGGTCGAACCTCACGGCTGGTGTGACCGTGAACCCGATGCTTGTCCGGCAGCAACTCGAGCCTGGAGAAGGACGGCTCAGACGACGACAAGAAGAGTCTAGTGATCCCGCCGCAGGAGGAGCAGGCCGAGCAGGGAGGCGTGCGCCGAAAAACGTCAGTCTCCTCACAATCTGTTTTCACCCTGTTTTTTCGCCCTCATCACCATCATCGTTTTTACCCACACCCACACCCCCGCCCTCGCCCTCGCCCTCGCCCTCGCCCTCGCCCTCGCCCTCGCCCTCGCCCTCGCCCTCGCCCTCGCCCTCGCCCTCGCCCTCGCCCTCGCCCTCGCCCTCCGCCCTCGCCCTCGCCCTCGCCCTCGCCCTCGCCCTCGCCCTCGCCCTGGCCCTCGCCCCCGCTCACGCTCACATCCCACATTGAAAATCGGTTGGTAGTTCCCAAGGAACAATTTGGTTGCTGTAATTTGTGTTGTACCTCAGTGGCGTTATGTGTTGCCCAGCTTTACGTTTCGGAGCATCGATATCTCCAGTATACGCGTCTGAGTGAGACCAGGGTACATTTATAGGCTGCCCTCCGGAATGTGTCAGCAGCCGGCCGACTGTCGGGAGCCGGTCCGGCGTGTGGTCGTGGTGCCGTCTGTCGGGAGCTGGTCCGGCGTGTGGCCGTGGTGCCGTCTGTCGGGAGCCGGTCCGGCGTGTGGCCGTGGTGCCGTCTGTCGGGAGCCGGTCCGGCGCATGGCCGTGGTGCCGTCTGTCGGGAGCCGGTCCGGCGTGTGGCCGTGGTGCCGTCTGTCGGGAGCCAGTCCGGCGTGTGGCCGTGGTGCCGTTTGTCGGGAGCCGGTCCGGCGCGTGGCCGTGGTGCCGTCTGTCGGGACCCGGCCCGCCGTGTGGCCGGCGTATGGCCGTGGTGCCGTCTGACGGGAGCCGGTCCAGCGTGTGGCCGTGGTGCCGTCTGTCGGGAGCCGGTCCGGCGTGTGGCCGTGGTGCCGTCTGTCGGGAGCCGGTCCGGCGTGTGGCCGTGGTGCCGTCTGTCGGGAGCCGGTCCGGCGTGTGGCCGGCGTGTGGCCGTGGTGCCGTCTGTCGGGAGCCGGTCCGGCGTGTGGCCGTGGTGCCGTCTGTCGGGGGCCGGTCCGGCGTGTGGCCGTGGTGCCGTCTGTCGGGGGCCGGTCCGGCGTGTGGCCGTGGTGCCGTCTGTCGGGAGCCGGTCCGGCGCGTGGCCGTGGTGCCGTCTGTCGGGAGCCGGTCCGGCGTGTGGCCGTGGTGCCGTCTGTCGGGAGCCGGTCCGGCGTGTGGCCGTGGTGCCGTCTGTCGGGGGCCGGTCCGGCGTGTGGCCGTGGTGCCGTCTGTCGGGGCCGGTCCGGCGTGTGGCCGTGTTTCGCTGACCTGACCCCACGCGCGCCGCAGGGCCCAGCTGAAGCGTTTCCTCGGCCGGACCGTGAACAAGGCGCGCGACCGGGCTGAGGTCATCGCGCAGAAGATGTCGCACGTGCGCCACCGCGAGGAGCGCGACGCTTTCGAATCCATCGACGGCGTGCCGGACGCGCACACGGTGGTTCGCGTGCCGGTGAGGAGCGCTGGCCGGGCCGTGGGCCGGATGGTCCCGCGCGGGGCAGGGCTGGTCTGTTTTCTTGTGGTGTGTTTATGTGGTGTCATCAGGGCTAGCCAGACGGTATGTGACGGTTGTCTGCGAAGGAGAGCAGCCGGGTTTGACCATAGCATCGGCATTGGCATCAAGCTTTTGTCGGGCACCATTTGGACGAAACGGATAACCCTAGCACAAAATGGACCCGACATGACATTTAGCGCTATTCGGGTCCGGTGCGAGTGTTTGAACTTGGTGACCCTCAGACGTCGTTGGGTGGTATTTAGCTTCCTAGCCATCATGAGTTTTATTGCCTTCGTGAGGCACGGCAGGGTAGTCAGAGTGCCGTCGGCGGATCGTGCGTCATCGAGCGATGTCACGTGGCGCCACCAAGTGGTGTGTGGCTGGTGCCTCTCGGCCCGGTGGGCAGCCGGAAGCGAACTAAGCCCGGCGCGTGACCCGTGCCCTGCCTGGTGCGTGTCGGCAGATGAAAGCGTCCGGCAGTCACAAGGGTCCGTACGAGTTCGACCAGCTGGTGTTCGTGCAGGACTTCAAGAGCGAACACATCGGACCCGTCTGGTGCATGAAGTTCTCCGCGTGTGGAAGGTACGGACTCTCGTTGCACGTCTCGGGTCTTACGAACGGTCGTCGGTCACGGTGGGGGCGTGGGACCGTCGGCCGCCACGGATGTCTGTGTCTTCCTGAGTCCGGCGTGAGGACGGAGCCGGCCGGCGTGGGCTCTCCTAAAGCTCTCCCTCAGTACGCTGATCAGCGCGTGCGCTGCAGCTGGCTCCTGGTCCTCACTGTGTTACCGCCTGAGATGTGAGTAGAGCGTCGATGGCAACAAAGATAGACACTCCAGCTTTGCACTGGCGTCCGGGTATGTGGCGGGCGGGCCGCGGGGCGGAACTCGGCCTCTGTCGGTGCGCCAGGCCACGGCCGCGTGACGCCCAGCCGCTAGCGAGCTGGGGCTCGGAGCGGACCGTCACTGAGAGCGCCCGCGCCACAGGCTGCTGGCCACCGCCGGCCAGGACCACGTGCTGCGCGTCTGGGTGCTCAAGTCGGCCTACCACTACTTCTGCGACATGCGGACCAAGTACTCGGCCGAGAAGGTGTCGCCCACTCCGTCCCAGGTGGGGAAAGCCGCCACCGGTGGACCGGTCTGTGCTGCTCTGCTCTTGTCGGGAGTGTTCCCCTCGTTGGTTCTTGTGGGGTTCTGCACCCGTGCTGGTCGCTCATACTTCTGCAGCCAGACGAACCATGTGTGGTGTCGCGCCACGAGTACTCGTGGTCCCTGGAGTGTTTCGTTTGTCCGTAGAGTTGGTAGGACACTCCGTCGCCGGGATCAGGTGCATCACCAACATTGCCTGTGTTCCCTGGTGTCGATCCTCACTGTCTTCGCTTTGAGCCAGGTTCCCGGTGTCCGCCGCCGCATGTTTGCCACGTCCCCGCGAGACGCCTGCCATCTGAGTCATCTGACTGATGTTCACCCTGTCGCCGCCAGGAGTCTCTGGTGTCGCAGCACTCGTCCGAAGAGCCGCTGGTCTCGGTGGAGGCCACCAGCGAGGAGGAGGCGTACGCCCCCTTCATGTCCCGTCCCTTCTGCAAGTACATGGGGCACACAGCCGACCTACTGGACATCAGCTGGTCCAAGGTGGGCGTGCCGCTCCCCCCGGCCACTGGACGGCCCCCTCTGGCCACGCGGCGGACCTGCTGGACGTCAGCTGGTCCAAGGCGGGCGCGCCGCTCCGCCGGCCACCGGGCGGCCCCCTCTGGCCACTGTGGCCGCCCCTCACGCGCTGCACCGTCCGCCAGCTCACACCGCGCGGACCGAGCCAATCGTCTCCCCCTCTGGCCACTGTGGCCGCCCCTCAACCGCTGCACCATCCGCCAGCTCACACTGCGCGCGGACCGAGCCAATCGTCTCCACCCGTTATGAAAGACTCACTGCGAGTATAACTCATCACTGGTAAATGGACCTGCTGAACGCATTATTGAGTCACGCAAGGGAGGTTTCATGACTTCGTTGTTTTTATCGTTGCGATAAATTCATATTTGTGGCATGGTTCATACGAAGTCGGTAGAGTGCGTTTCTGTAGCCGGTGCTTTCAGCCGCAATTTCCATCTTCGAGAATTCACGTGTGCGCTCGTCTGGCACCGTTGCAGAACTACTTTATCCTGTCGTCGTCTATGGACAAAACCGTGCGTCTGTGGCACATATCGCGCAAGGAGTGCCTCTGCTGCTTCCAGCACATCGAGTTCGTGACGGCCATCGCATTCCACCCGAAGGTGAGCCTCGCGCCGGACGGTGGCCGGCCTGCGGGCTCCTGCGCGCAGGCGCGCCCCCGAGATGTAGTGTTGGGACCCGCTCGTGCAGCTAGCAGAGGGCGCTCCTGACAGAAGGTGGTTCGGGACATCGGCAGGACGGAGAATAGGACAGCTAGCGGCCAGGTCGGCAGGCTGGCGGCCGCATGCTGTGGTGTTCTGCACCAAAAATGTGTGTTTCTGTATGTTCCGCGACGATCGCTACTTCGCGCCTGGGATAACTTGTCTGGTTGGGCGCACTGCTGCAGCGTCATTTAAGCGCGTTACGTGGACTAGTAACCGTCTTAATCCACACCATAGCGTCCGACAGCCATGCAGCCATCACGGAGCTTTATTTCACGCAAATAACTCACTCCACATTTCCCACAAGGACTGCCTATGCTCGCGGCAGCTGCGGTCCGTGCGCATGCAGAGGTTGGTGCAGAGGATAGGCTCTGGTGACACCTGCCGTCCGCTCGCAGGACGACCGGTACTTCCTGTCCGGCTCTCTGGACGGCAAGCTGCGACTCTGGAACATTCCGGACAAGAAAGTAGCGCTCTGGAACGAGCTGGACGGCCAGGCCAAGCTGATCACGGCGGCCAACTTTTGCCAGGTACGGCCGCCCGGACCGGCAGACAGATCCCAGGTACGGTCGCCCGAACCGGCAGACATCCCCGGTACGGCCGCCCGGACCGGCAGACATCCCCGGTACGGCCGCCCGGACCGGCAGACAGATCCCCGTACGGCCGCCCGGACCGGCAGACAGATCCCAGGTACGGTCGCCCGGACCGGCAGACAAATCCCCGTTACGCCCGCCCTGACCGGCAGACAGATCCCCGGTACGGTCGCCCGGACCGGCAGACAGATACCCCGTACGGCCGCCCGGACCGGCAGACAGATACCCGGTACCCAGTCAGTGGCCGGCACTCCTCCAGTCGCCCCCCCCCCCCCCCCCCCCCCTCTGTTTCCCCACGGCGTCGGCCCCCAGATCCCTGGGACACGGCCAGCGGCCAACACTCCTCCAGCCCCCCCCCCCCCCCCCTGTCTTCCCACGGCGGCGGGCCCCAGATCCCCGGTGCACGGTCAGTGGCCGACACTCCTCCAGCCCCCCCCCCCCCCCTCTGTGTCCCCCAACGGCGTCGGTCCGAGATCATGTGTTATCAGCCTGGTTGGAACAAAGCGCCTAACGGGTATGTACGGACAGATGGGCTTTGCCACAGAGGGAATATTAAAGGAATGATGCGGGTTTTCTTCTTGGAACAGAATGCAGTCTCATACATTTAGGTCTGCTGCAATCAACTCTAAAACACCTTTAGATACATGCATTTCCTCGTGAAATTCGACGTTCGGGGCATTGCATGCGTGGGAACGCAGTGAACTTTCAACACTTGCGGTGTCAGTGAAGGTCAGTGTCCAATACCGCAGCACGGACCACTCGACTTCATCATCGATTTACGAGCAAGTGAAGCATTTTACGTATCAAACGGTCTTATTTGTATAGCTTAGCAATGCGGCGGTAAACAAAACTTAGTGAATTGGTTGCTTTGTATGAGCTGCCTGTGTTGGCATCTTCTGGATAACGGTATTGCGTCAGCTGGCTCTGCAGGTGGCATCACCGCCCATTTGTGAAGACCATGTGCGGATGAAGTCACTTCCAGACAAAGCCTGCTGCCACTGAACTTTCACCACTTCGATCTGCCGGTTTCTGAGCTGCATGTGGTAAAGTCGCAGGGCTCAGCAAAATAGGGACATACACCGACTGGATGTCATGTATTGGTCACGTATTTACATCAGCGGAGCAGACCATCGAATACACATTTGCGTAGCAAATCATTAATACACATCTGCGTAGGGAAATCATTGATACACATCTGCACGGCAAGCCATCGAACGCATTATTGGGCCATCGGTGAGCACGCTGCTTGCAATGGAGGCCGCTTCTGCGATCCGCCATCGCCCCGCACGCTTTGCGCCACGACCGCGTCTGCCCTGCGGTAAGAAAGGTGCGCCTACGGCTGCAGCTACGGCGCCTTGTTCTCCTCCAGCATCTCCTGCATGGTCTGGCGGATGAAGTCGACGTAGTGGTCGATGCGCAGCACCACCTCTGGCTGGCCAGGCTGGCAGCTGCCAATGAGACGGAGGCCGAGCAGGCGGGCCGGGCCGGCCGGCGCGGCGGCGTCGCGCCCCACCACCGGGCCGCCCGAGTCCTGCGAGCAGGCGGCGCCGGCCGACCGCCCCACGCACAGCTCGCTGTCCGCTTGCAGGCCCTGCGGGAAGATGAAGCCGGCGTGCGGCAGCTGCTCCAGCGGCTCGGCGCAGGCGGCCAGCGGCGCCACAGCCGCCGGCGGCGCCGCCAACCGGCCCCGGCCGGCCAGCGATGACCCGATCAGGTCGCCGGACAGGTCGAACGCGGGCAGCTCCAGCGGCGTGCCTGCAACGCCAGGGAATGCCGCGTCAGGGGCCGCACTCCGCCGGCACGGGTGGTGCACAGGCACACGGGCGTCGGGGAGGGTCACACGGGCGGCGCACGACGGCAGTTGGACGGCACACGGCGGCACGGGGGTGTCCAGAGGGCGTCACGTCACGTCTCAGTCCCGGTGCGTCAAACTGGCGTGACGCAGTGCCGTGCCAGTGGGATCTTAAGCCGCTTTGACGTCACATGGTCGCGGAGTAGATGCCGTGCAAGGAAAGGCACCGTGACACGCTGCCAATGTGGATCGTATTCCTAGCTCGTGGTTTTTTTCAACGTGACACCCACACTCCATTGGAGTCTGACCAATACCGAGACAGCGCAATCTCAGTGCGGTAAAGATTTACAAGTTTGATTTGAGTGGTCCGTTTTTGCATATGCCGGAACCACGCCTGTCCATCTGCATTTGCCGCAACTAATCCTCGTCCCGCACAGCGAGCGTGCCACACAAGCCGTAAAGGGCCTTTCGTGCCGCGTCGAGCCGCCTCGCCTCCACTCACCATCAGGAAGGTCAGCGGCCGGCGGCGGCAGGCAGATGGGCCGCACGCGCGCGCCGCCGCCGCCGGCCGGCCGGTCGAGCAGCAGCAGCGCCAGGTCGTGCCGCTGCGCCGGCGGCTTGAATCCCGGGTGGCGGCGCGCCGCCAGCACAGTGTGTTCCTCGGTGGCGCCGTCGGAGGTCGTGTTCAGGTCGTGCTCGCCGAGGCGCACGGCCAGGCGGTCGGGCGAGCCGCCGAGCACGGCGCAGTGCGCGGCCGTCACCACCAGCCGCTCAGCCACCAGCGCGCCGCCGCAGATCCAAGCCAGCGCGCCGTCCGACGTGCGCAGGCCGACCAGCGCTGTCCACGGCTGGCTGCCCAGCAGCACCGGCTGCCCGCTGCCGTCTGGCGCCGGCGTCGACTGGTACTCGTCGTCCACGAGGAAGGCCGGCTCGGGCTGACCCAGGCCGCAGCCGGACAGGCCGGCGCTGGGCGGCTCGGTCGACGCCGGCAGGGCCGCAGTGGGGGGAGGGGTGGCCTCGGTCGGTTTGGGGGTGGCCTCGGTCGGTTTGGCGGTGACCTTGGTGACCTCGGCGCCGACGTCGGGCGGGTCGGTGGCGGTCAGCGGGTCGGGCAGCACGGCGTCGGTCGGGCAGCAGATGATCGGGTCGTTAGCGATGAAGCGACACACCTTGGGCGGCCGTGTGAGTAGGTCACCGACGGTCGGGTACAGCATGCACCGCAGGGCCGCCGCCGAGACGCACCGGCCCGGCTGGCCGTCGCGCGTCACGCACTGGCTGGTGTCCTCCACCGGGAAGAAGATGGTAGAGCCGAGCGCCACAGCCGCGCCGCACAGCACTACGATTACCGACGCTGCCAGCCGCATCGCGATTGATCAGGGGTTTCAGGGGACAGACCAGACACACAGGCCGCCCGGCAGCTGCTGGGACGGAGAGGACGCCGGCGGAGGGACGTGCTGGCGCCTGGCCGCCGACCGCTGGACTGAGGCGCGGGCCCATCCTCCCCCCCCCCCCCCCCGTGAGCCGCCGCGGGCGCTCGTCTCCGATTGCGCCCGGTCCACTTCCCGGACCACGCAAACCGGTTTGGCGGCCACTTTTGTGTGCTTCTGCCGCTGCGGCCGGCCGCTCGCGGATCGATGGCCGCAGATGCCGCGCCGCGCTCAAGGGCATGCTGTCACGTGACTCATCCTGCAGGCGCGGATGATTGGCGGTGACGGCGCACGTGGGATGGGGGGGGGGAGGTGGAGCGCCGACCCCACGTACGCTGAACGGGCCAGGTTGCGACTGTGCTGGTGTCAGGGTGGCACGTAGAATCTTCAGCGGATTGTAATCGTATTTTGCCAAGTTTCAGTTTTAAGCTCAGTTCTAGTTTTTAGTGTTTTTTTGCTTGTTTTGCTTTTGTTTTTAGGATCGTTTTTCAGTTTTTGACCAATTTTATGACTATTTTTTTACTCCTGGCCAAAACATTTTTACTCGTGGCCGAAAACGTATTCAATTCAATGCAATTAAATTAAGTGGTTATCCAGTGGCCCACACTGCGAACATAAGTCCGGGCAAATGGTGCCCCGCCGGCAACTGCTTCTTCTTTTTGTCTGATCTTGATCTTGTCTGAAGGCTCTGAGGGGGCTATACTGGCTTATATTGAACGTTGTCATCACTTGCGAGGCGTGAAAACATCATCCTGTTTTGATGGCGCGTCGGATCAAATTAGACTTTGATGTCATGTTAGCCATGATGCTTTTCTGTCATAATCCAAAGTGACTGACACGTGTCAGTTGTGACGTAAGGGTCAAGTTTGCGCCGTTTTATCGACTGAAAATAGCCCACTTGAGCGTTAGTTAACTCTTTACGGCAGTGCTCAGTGTAATGCTTAGGTCCAGAGGTTATAATGATAAAGCGAAACGGCGGCGTTGGTCGTATTGCCGTGTACATCTATTGGCATTGAGAAAACTACGTACGGGGACCGCGATAACTTCATTTGACCCCGAGTGACCCAACATGACAGGCCAACCATCGGTGATATCCGCATATGACGCATGCGAGTGTTGGAAGATCACTTGCTGGTTTTGTTCCTTGTGTGAATTGGCGCCGTAGCACGTCGGGTGTAAAATTGGCAGGAATTTCGTACCAGCTATACGTGTTCGAAGGTGGCGGAACCCGGCCTCGGGGATTTTGTGACTGCCGGGGAGTAATAGCCCGAATTCCTGTAATTAAATCGGCTAGTGCTACCAAATGTTCAGCGCCTTGTCAAGTGATGGCAGTCCATTTCAAGTTCAGCTGCGATGTCAAGCCCATCACAGTGCAGCGGACATCATAACATAACGTCGAATTAAGTACTAAAAGATAAGCCAGTGCCAGATGTAATTTACCGTCATATGCCTTTTAATTAAAGGGCAGGCTAAAAGCTTGCAAAAATGGCCCGACCACTGGACTGACCGTTCCGGAAAATGGCATCGGGATCTCTGCAAGATGTATCCCAGCAAGGCGTTCGGTCACATCTTCAAGTTCAGAAACCCCAAAAATTGGCATGAATTTTTGCTATTAACCTCTATGATAGTGGATATGAAACACGCTGTGATAACGGCCATGATATGTGTTTGATTTTGAACATGCACGTGTATGGTGTTCACCGTCAGGTTTTTTGAAAAGACGGCCCAAACCCGCTTGGGGAGGGACGGAGTGCGAAGTGAAGTATTAACAGAAAATGCCGGCCGATGTTTAGCATTGAGAAGCAAGCGGTCCCTCCACGCCGCGTGACGTCGCCGCTGGCGTGTGCGCAGGGCGGCCGGTTCGCGGTGGTCGGCTCCTACGACGGCCGGTGCCTGTTCTACTCGACCGACCAGCTCAAGTACCACACCCAGATCCACGTGCGCTCCAGCCGCGGCAAGAACGCCCGCGGCAGGAAGATCAGCGGCATCGAGCCGATGCCGGGCGAGGACAAGGTGGGTCGGAGGGCGGGCGGCTAGCCCGCCGCACAACCGCACCACGCTGCTGGCCAACCGTGGCAGTAGTCACCATTGTGGTGGGACACAAACGTCCGTGCTGTTGGCATCAGTAGCGTTACAATCTATGGGGACGATGGCGGCGGCAAAGTCCAAGACGTTAGTGATGCTGGAGCCGAGGAAATCGGCCTATGCAATCGAGTTGATTGTGAACTTTTAAGTGTGGCGTACCGCTTTGTTGGAAGAGGTACGGGTGTAGAATGGAGGCCCCCCGGAAGGTCCGTTTACTACCCCCTCCCCCTCCCCCCTCTTCCCTCGCCAGCAATCTTTGGCGTCGACCCTGATTAATTGAGCCGCTGGGAAGGCTTTCCTACTTTCGCTCCAACAGCAGGCCAGCGAAGCGTGGCGGTGGCAGACAAGTAGCCACAGCAGTTTGTTCCGGCGGCAATTAATGCGACGTAAGAAAACGCAGAACGGATGACTCAGTTGGATTAAGCACCGACATTTCGCCGTCGCTTTTTCTAGTTAATTTCAATAAGATTAAAGCCAAGAGAAGTTTTCCATGCATTATTGGCGATTTTCTGAATTCGACGGTGGTTTTATAATTTGAAACATGATTTACGGGGTTTGAATCCCTGCTTTCAGGATTCAGGGATCCACAGGATTCAAATACTGCGAAGTAAAATGCTCAGCTGTAATGTGGACGATATCAACTTGTCTTGAGCGTCATTTTTTAACAAACGTCATTTTGCTTCGCTGTGTTTAAGCCTAAATAAGTTCCCAATGCATTTATATGCATAAGTTGTTCAGTGCGTTAGCGAGGAGCATAATTCACATAGATAAGACAGTAGTATTAGCCTTCTTCCTCGGAAAAGGCAGGAGAATGGAGATATAGTTGGGTTGGTATTTCGGTAACATGCCTTTATCGAAACATGAGCAGAAGCGAATTCGAAATTGCCTGCCGATGATCCCACTCGTTTTTCAGGCTTCTTTTGAAACAGCAAACGACAGTTTTTACAGAACACCAACATTCAGGGGATTAAAAAAGAGCGATTGCCAACTATTACCACGATACAGTGCCTATCTAAGAATTAGGTTGCGCGAGCATACGTGTACATGCAAACGAATAGGCATCACGCATCCCGCTTCATTCGAACATGCAAGCAAGCTGAAGTAAACAGGCATCCGAAAGGGGTATTTCCCGTTTTGTTTTTAACGTCTCGCAGGTGTTCGTTATAGCTCAATCAATTAGGGCGCGTGCACTCCCCAACATAGACTTTGTCCCTCCCGTGTTTTTCGCACAGCTTACACTTGATTTCGTAATCCAGGTTTTTTTGTGTGCAAACCGCTTAAAACGCAGAACTTCATAAATGACATCTGTTGCCAACCGGGCGCCCAGGCTTCGAGATGGAAGATTTCACCAGAGACTTATTATTGGTTATTGTCGTTTTTCCAAGCTATGCGTACGCGCGGTTTAGATTTTTTTTACAATGTGTTTGACTTCCCTAAGTAAATGTTTATCTATGTAAGGTAGCGTTAAGAATCCGTCCTCCGATAGCATGTTCCTGCCCCCTACCCCTCCCTCCCCCCCCCCACGCGCTCTAGACTTGTTTTACTTCTTCCAACATTCTACCTAAAAGTTGCGGAGATTATCCGTTGCCCAACACCAGAGCCCATGTTTTGTTTATGCTCTTCCTTTCCTTTTCACTACTTGTTGAGTTGCTTAGAGCCCTATGGAACATGTTACGAATTATGTTGTGCTTAGTGGAAGTTGGATGCGCATGTTCGCGGTGCAAAATGATACCAGAGTTGGTGACCTTGATAAAGAGCTCCGTTTCTAACTTTGTGCGGTTGTTCTAACTCATTAAATTCTTAGATAGGCACGGTATCGTGGCAATGGCTGGTAATCGCTCTTTGTTTAATCCTCTAAATGTTGGTGTGTTGTAAAAACTGTGGCTTTCTGTTTACAAAAGCCTGAAAAATCGAGCGGGATCATCGGCAGGCAATCTTGAATTCACTTCTGCTTTTATTTCGATAAAGGCATGTTGCCGAAATATCAACCCAACTCTATCTCCATTATCCTGTTTTTTCCCGAGGAATAAAGCTAACACTACTGTCTCATTTATATGCATGCTCAAATGATGGCTTTTAGGATTCGACAGTAGTTTTATTATTTCGATTTTGCTTTTCAGCGCTTGAATTCTTGTTTTTAGGCCTCAAGAATTGACAGGATTCCAATACTTCGTAGTCAAAGTTCAGCTCTAATGTGGACGATGTCAGTTTCTGCTGAGTGTCATGTTTTATTAACACACTCGTGGTTCCGCAGTTGGCGTCTTGCGATGTATGACACGGAATGCAGGCGTTGGCAGCACTTTCGCAGCTCCTCCCCCCCCCCTCCCCCCCCCCCCCCCCCCTGCTCGCGGCAAGATTTGCTGGAGGTTTGGCGTTGCCAATCGTCTCGTGCATTCTGACGACGCCCGTCTCCAGATACTGGTGACGTCAAACGACAGCCGGATACGGCTGTACGACCTGCGCGACCTCAACCTCTCCTGCAAGTACAAGGGCTTCACCAACAACAGCAGCCAGATTCGCGCCAGTTTCAGGTACGTGCCCAGCCGCGTCCGCCGCTGATCACCGACCGCACGCCCCACCGCCGCACAGCGGCGTCTCCGGCTGACCCTTTTATAGACTCCGGCCGCACGGCAGCGCCTCCGGCTGGCCTCGCCAGAGACTCCGGTGGCGTGCTGGCCCCGCCAGAGACCACCGCACGTCGGCGTCTCCGGCTGGCTCTGCCAGAGACTCCGGCCGCACGGTGGTGTGCTGGCCCCGCCATAGACCCCAACCACACGGGAGTGTGCTGGCCCTGCCAGAGACTCCGGCCGCACGGTGGTGTGCTGGCCCCGCCATAGACCCCAACCACACGGGAGTGTGCTGGCCCTGCCAGAGACTCCGGCCGCACGGTGGTGTGCTGGCCCCGCTATAGACCCCAACCACACGGGGGTGTGCTGGCCCTGCCAGAGACTCGCGAGTGTTAGCGACGACTGCCACATGTTGTTTGATGCTAAAGCCGTCATAAACCCCTTACGAAGTTTTCGCCACCTGAGTAGACGAGCACGATGTGGCAATACATTAGGGTTATCGGTGCGGCAGTGAGCTTGGGTTCTGTCTTTCTGTGGCCGCGTTCCCCTGGATTGATGTTGTTTTGTACTGTCATTGCTAAATCAGTCTTTTACACGGAATAGCGACGTTCTTATCTATCCATCTTTGGTTTGGAGGAATGAGTGTCAGCATGCAACACGTAACGGATTTTGTTGTTTTGGCCGAATGAGCTTCACACATCCCATGCCTTTGACATCCGAATCCCCGGTTGGCTCAGATCGTGTCGGCTCCCACCAGCTCAGTAGAGGAATTCCAGCTGAGTAGGCGGCGCCGTGTGTCATACATGTGCCGCCCTCTGTGTGTGTGCAGTCATGACGGGAAGCACATCGTGGCTGGCTCGGAGAACCAGTGCGTCTACATCTGGAAAACCCATCACGACTACTCCAAGTTCTCGTCGGCGCGCCGCGATAGAAACGACTTCTGGGAAGGCATCAAGGGTGAGTGTCAGGTTTCCTGGCCGGCACAGCTCTTGGTGCATCTGCTGGCCTCGCTGGTTTCGCGTGTTAGTCGCTTCCTGAAGCGCACCCATCTTTGATTTGGTGTCATTTCTTACCGCTGCGGTGCAGGGGCGTGATGCTGAGCACCGCTGTGCTGCTGCGCTGTGGTGCTGTGCACCGCTGCTCTGCGGCGCCGTGGTGCTGTGCACCGCTGTGCTGCGGCGCTGTGGTGCTGTGGTGCTGTACACCGCTGTGCTGCGGCGCTGTGGTGCTGTGGTGCTGTACACCGCTGTGCTGCGGCGCTGTGGTGCTGTGCACCGCTGTGCTGCGGCGCTGTGGTGCTGTGCACCGCTGTGCTGCGGCGCTGTGGTGCTGTGCACCGCTGCTCTGCGGCGCTGTGGTGCTGTGCACCGCTGTGCTGCGGCGCTGTGGTGCTGTGCACCGCTGCTCTGCGGCGCTGTGGTGCTGTGCAACGCTGTGCTGCGGCGTTGTGGTGCTGTGCACCGCTTGTCCGGCTCGCATCGGTGCATGGCCAAGCGGGCCGCCACGCAGCGTCCGTCTGTCGCACTGCTTCTTCGTGGAGAGGGGCGTTCGGTGGCAGCGACAGTGATTGGGGCTTATCGTCTCACCGACTCTCAGGGTTATTTCCAGACGGGGTGCCTTTACAACGTGCGATGTGGGGTGCGGTAGTGGTGTGGCCAGGACCCCAGCCCAGGACCGAGCAGTCCTGAGGCGGGCACCCTAACCACTAGACCGCCACCGCCCGAACAAACTATTGCAGTAACTTGGCGTTATTTGTCAGCCCGCGGGATGCGTTCTGACTTCAACTATCGTTCAGCAGCCAGCAGATGGTTGAGTGTAGTTGGTGTCCTGAGCTGCGGCACGGCGCGCGTGTGTTGCTTGTCGGCTAGTTTTGGAGTGCACGAGCCGGCGTCGGCTGAATCCCTCGATACCCAGCCAGTCGTTGTGCTGACGCCTGTCGGTGCGTTGCAGCGCACGAGGCGCAGGTGACGTGCGCACTGTTCGCGCCGCACCCGGACCTGGTGTTCTCGCACGTGGACGGCGAGCTGACGCGGCTGGAGCAGGAGGAGGGCGAGCGTGGCTCGCAGCTGTCGGCAAGTCTCGGCGGCGGCCACACTCCCGACCCCACACCCCGGACCGACGAGGCCAAAAAGGACTCGCTCGACAAGAAGTCGGTCGGCAGCGGCGGCACGTCCACCATGGGCTACGTCCTGGTGACGGCCGACTTCAACGGCGTCATCAAGGTGTTCCTCAACCGCACGCGGCCCAAGCACAGCAGCCTGCCGGCCTCGGCGCTGTTCCGCGAGGGCGCCGGCGAGGGCCGCGCCACCACGCCCCGGTGATCGGCGCCTCTGGCGCGGCCCCGCCTCACGCAGCTGGCCGCTCCGGACTGGCCGGTGTGGCGGCCGGCTCGCTTGCCGTGGCCCCTGAACGCCCAGGCGGTGGGCGGCCGACAGTGGTGCGATCGTGCATATCAGCCCAAATACCGCGCAGCCGGCCGATGAGGGCAGCCGCCGCGCCCCGGGGGCTGAGGCCCGGGCCCCGTGTCGCGGGATAACATCGCCAAATAACCTGTCGGCTGACTGCGACGCACGAGCCGTTGGTGCGTCAATGGATATGCGTCGCCGACAGATTTCCAAGAAAGACGCACGCGTTGGAAGATGAAGCCGGGTCGTGCCCATCGACGCAGCGCCGCATAACGGGCGGGTTTGGGGATGGCCGTTAGTCACGGTCCGTCAGGATCCGCCCGCGGTCTTGTGCTGCAGGCTATACCGCAGCTGACCGGGCCAGACTTTAGTCACCCGACGCGCGATGGTCGGTCATGTAGTCACACCGCCATCACGGGCAAGGCCAGATGGTCACCTAGGAGGGAATGGGACGTTGTCGACACATAGTGCGAGCCAAGTGAGCTTTATGCTGTGGCGATCTACGCCCAGTGCGGGGGCGCCCCGGCAGTCTATTTACGTCATGTTATTGTGTAGCACAACACCGGCTCCGTTGCCGGCCGTCGGCACCGTAACCGCACGGGTTCTCAGTGTATCTGCCGCAATCGTAGGGCCTGCGCGTAGGGGCAGCGTGTGATTCGCCGCGTCCTCGTGACATGGCCGGCACGTGGCGTCGGACCGGGACCAGGGCCACAGCTGACCGCGTGATGCTGCTGTCGCTGGGCGCAGAGCTAGTGCAGTGCGTCCGGTGTCGCTCCACAGCCGCTCGGCCAGTCGAACATTGCCCTGCCCGCCGCAGCTGAAACTGGTAAACGGCAGACACAGTCAGCTATTTGTAGCGTTTTGTTTTCTAAAAACGATGACTTGTCATACGTCGTCAGGGTGCCTGATAACGGGGCCGCTGTGATATGCATCAAATAAAGACGAGGTGTGGTATGTAAGCTCTCGATCATGAACGTCACCGATGTGCTCCTGCAGCGCAAGAGCTGACGTCACCATTATGGTCTAACGACAGGCGGGGTGACGTCATCGTCATGGTCTGACGCCAGGCGGGTGACGTCATCGGTATGTTCTAGGACAGACCGGCTGGAGGCGCCGGTGCGGACGTAGGTTGCAGACAGCAGCCGTGAGACTTGCGGATTTTTCAGCCCGCGTGATTAGCGAGCTGCAGCGCTCCATCTCATCTGGCAGTCGCGCGGCGAGCGGGCGCTGCTGGGAATGACCCTGAGCGGCAAATCTGAACTGTTGGGTGGTCATCCTGCAAGTCTGAACTGTCGGGTGGTCATCCTGGAAATCTGAACTGTCGGATGGTCTGCCTGCAAATCTGAACTGTCGGGTGGTCAGTCCTGCAAATCTGGACTGGCGGATGGTCTGCCTGCCAATCTGAACTGTCTGGTGGGCTGCCTGCAAATCTGAACTGGTGGGTGGTCTGCCAGCAAATCTGGACTGGCGGGTGGTCTGCTTGCAAATCTGAACTGTCGGATGGTCATCCTGCAAATCTGGACTGGCGGGTGGTCTGCCTGCAAATCTGAACGGTCGGGTGGTGATCCTGCAAATGTTTTCGCCGTGAATGTTGTTTACGTCGAAACACTCGCCTAGCCTTTAATGGCCACTTGCAGCACACAGGCTTTCCCACTGGACACACATCTTCCCTACACACTGTGAGACTTCCATATTTACCACTCTGTTTATTTTTTTTCATAACTGGCAAGTTATGACACTCCTGCAAATAGGTGGATAGGAACGTTGGCGCTGCGTGGTCACATGCAGCGTGATGTCACTGGCGCGCTGTGTATGTCAAGCGGAGAGCCTCACTGAGTGCTCATCACGTCTCTATCCAGTCCAGGCTACATTACTACCATGTACACAGCAACATACACTGTCCTGGATTGATATTTTGCAACGCACTTTAACTCAAGCGCGACATGAAGCGTACACCGGCACCCATCCTAACAACATGTGTCTGGTGTAACAGAGCTATATCGAGTCTGACTACCAACGACATCGCGGCCAACTCGTGCCCGCTTGCAGAGTGTCTTTGTGCTACGGTATTTGACCCATTTCCGAGTATAGCACTGACCACTGTCGTCCGGTTTCAGAGCACAGCTTGGCGTACCCGGGCTGGACGTGAGCACCGTCCAGCCGGCCTGGCTTCAGGGCACAGCTCCGTGTACCCGGGCCGGACCTGAGCACTGTCCAGCTGGCCCGGTTTCAGAGCACAGCTCCGTGCACCCGGGCCGGACCTGAGCACTGTCCAGCTGGCCTGGCTTCAGGGCACAGCTCCGTGTACCCGGGCCGGGCCTGAGCACTGTCCAGCTGGCCTGGCTTCAGGGCACAGCTCTGTGTACCCGGGCCGGACCTGAGCACTGTCCAGCTGGCCTGGCTTGAGGGCACAGCTCCGTGTACCCGGGCCGGACCTGAGCACTGCCCAGCTGGCCTGGCTTGAGGGCACAGCTCTATGTACCCGGGCCATACCTGAGCACTGTCCGGCCGGCCCGGTTTTAGAGCACAGCGCACGCCGTCCAACTCACATCCGAGCTCAGCGTACAAACGGGCCGCGGGGGCCTGATAAGAGCACAGCGCGGTCCTGTCAGACCTGTCTCGCGCGCGGCGACCGGACCCGACGGACGCCGCGGGCCGGACGGGTCTGGCCGGACTCCATGCCCGACGGACGCCGCGAACCGGACGGGTCTGGCCGGACTCTCCATGCCCGACGGACGCCGCGGGCCGGACGGGTCTGGCCGGACTCTCCATGCCCGACGGACGCCGCGGGCCGGACGGGTCTGGCCGGACTCTCCATGCCCGACGGACGCCGCGGGCCGGACGGGTTTGGCCGGACTCTCCGCGGTCCAGGGGTCAGAGCAGGGCGCACCGCGTTTGCCAGCAGCCGGCCGGCGTGCCGCCGCCGTACAGCGTT